ATGAATGCTCTCGGCTCTTGGCTGTGCTGCTTGCAGCTGATGGCTTGATGACTTCTGAGCCAGGGTGAGAAGTTGAATTTGAAGTGGCTGATTACGATGTAGCTTCCTTCTCTGAACCTGCCCTCTTAGCCTGAGGAGGTGCAGACACCTGTTCGCCGTGTGTCGGCAGTTTAGCGCAAAAAGTCAAGAAGAACATCTGATGTGTGGAGCCGACAGGTGAGGCAAACCTGGTGCGCTGTCTTCACATAATAATCTGAGTGAGACAGCTGGCCTCTACACATCAAATAAAAAATGAAAATTGCCAGCAGACTCGACAGCTTCTTTTGTCTGTGTGATTTCGACATGTTGACACGCATCAGGGACTGCACCGTTTCCAAGGAGCTCAAAATTCATCTGCATGTGGTTTGGGAGGAAATACGGCACATTATTGTGAGTCTGCTCATAATAGTGTATTCTGCAAAACAGATATGCACCAGGATAAACATGTTATTCTTGTTTTAATGATACACTCTGCCAAACTGTCGCTCCATCTATCTGCCTTCAGTATTGCTGTCTCATCTTCCAGCTGCAGCCTCTCTTCTTTCTTCTCTCATCTGTTTTCTCAGCCACCTAAAGTCAGTGAAGCAACTGTATGGGCTCCTGCTTGTTGGCTCTTTGCCAGTACCACTTCTTTTACATCTGAATTGTGTTTTCTATGTCTGTGTTTGTATGTGTGTGACAGAGAGAGAGAAATGAAAGCGTGAGCGTGTGCGAAAGATAAAGAGGGCAGGAGACTTGCAAAGTGTCAATGTGAGTGTGTCTGGCTGTCTGGGTGGGTGTGCCTGTGAAGCTGCAAAATCATTTAAATTGGGAAAGGAATGCAGGAATGCTCGCTAGTGATTCTGATCGGAGCCAAATTTCTCTGTCAGAAAAGTCCCCAACCAGCCTCCTTGCAATTTCACAGTGATTGGAGAAGGAGTGAAAAAAAGAGAGAGAGAGGAGAGACTGAGAAAGAGAAGAAATAGAGGAAGAAAGGGGGGTAGAAATGAATAGAAAGTAGAGAGATACGAGTTAGAGGGAGATAGAGGCAGGGAGACAGACAGACTGAGGAGACTTCATTTTTGTTAGTAATTCAGCTGTGGGGGGAGAAGAGCAGTGCTGTCAGATGAGTCTTCCATCTTTCTTTCTTTCTTTCTTTCTTTCTTTCTTTTTTTTTTAATCGGCATTCCTGGAATAAGCAACTGAAGTTAAAAATCACACATCATTCACATTGTCTCCCATTCTCATCGAGTCCATTCAAACTACCCTTTGTAAGTTTCGCTCGTCATTTTCTCTGCCCACTCTCTCTACCCCCATTTCCATTGAGGGCAGGGCGACACAGGCTCAGACAGATGATGAGTCACATTCATAAATATGAGCAATTTAGAGACCCCAATCATACAAACTTTCATGTCTGTAATGTGATGTGAAGACGAGAGCTCGCATGTGCTTTGGGGTTTTTATTAAACAATGAGCCATTGTGCGACCCCTTCCAACATGGCTCTACTGAGAGCAGAGCACATCCTACGTGTTCACTCTAGAAAATGATTGCATGGTGTTGACACAAACAATGCCTCTGGATTTAATGCATGTGAGAGCCCACAGTATCCCAGCAGAGTGGCATTAGGGCTGCAGAGTTGAATGGCAAGTAGGTGCACTGTCCTTGGACCAGAGATCCAGGGTTTAAGTCCCCATGTTGACAAGCATCCACCCTGCTGAAGCCTCCAACAGCCAGACACTGAGTCACTATGAGCTCCAGGGGAGCTACTGTGTAGATGAGCTACCTGACTTCCCTGCAGAGGGAGAGGCATGTTTCTCTGCAATGCATCACTTAATATCACTAGAAATATACCAGATGTGAACATTAAGTGTGCCTCATTGTTAAGGTGAGTCATTTTCCACTTGAAGCAAATGCAGCCTTCAAGTTTACAGAATGTGTTTGGAGCATGTTTCAGGGATCGAACTAACACAAGAGGGTTCTCACAAATATCATGACCAAAGAAAAGTTGTCCAGAGACTGGATTAGTAATCACCACATGGATCTAATCTGCTCTCAACTCATGACGCTATTTTAGTAGCCCAGTAAGCCAGTGACTCAGCAATGAAGCTGCAACTAAATTTTGATCTCTCTTCTCTTAAATCTTTGCTTATGTTCACATTGACTACGATTACATACACCTTACTGTTCCACTATTATTCCGAATGGGGCAATATTCGGAATTTGATACGGGTCATGTAAATGGCATAATTTTTATTATTCAGGTTGTAGGAGCAATTTTTTGTTGTCATGGATGAATCATACACATCTAATTTGTCAACAGTTTCCAAGGCTGGGGTAGAGATGCATGCTTAAAATAAAAGCCCATATTTCTGGTCAGAAGGAGAAACACACCTACTTTAACAGTACGAAAGACTTTGATATCAACAGGTTTTTGGAAATGCGCAAATATTGCAAGGATAACTTTTTCAAGAAGGTCGTTAATCGGATGAAAGAGGGACGCTGTGTTTGCATGGTCCAACAAGTTGCCACCACTGGAAAACTTTGAGAATTTTGATGCAAAGAAGCAAAATTGCCAAACTTTTCCATATTTTGACGTGATAAATGACATGTTCAACATACACAGCTGCATTTTAACGGCAATATTAGTGGAATATTGATTTTCATTAGCCATATAAACAGCTTTTTAGGAATGTTGTCTTTTTCGGACCAGGGGCAAAAACCGAAATATTTTGTGTGTATAAATGTAGTCATTGTTTCTCCTTCTTACCTCATTTCTCTGTCTCATCCTTGTCACCTTCGCCCCCGTCCTTTGCTCTTTTCTTGATCGGTTTGACTTCATATTGTCTGTATTACTTCATTTGTATTGCACAGAACAAACGTCACAGTAGTAAAGCTGGGGGCACAGCGGAGGATTAGCGGGCTGATTTAGTCTAGATCTGCCACCAATCTGAGGGGAAATCCCGAACAGAGGTTGGACAGAACCGATGGTCAGCCAGGATTATCTGGTAGCGTGAGGGGTTTACAAATTCAATCCAAAGCGCTCCGATCAATGAGCAGACACGGTCCAGCTGTCTTGATTATGTCAAACTTTATATTTACAATCCAGCATTGGTGATTGGCTTTTTTATTTTTATTTTTTTTTGATTAGCGTGAAAGCTGCGAGATTGGAGGTGCCGACATGGTTGATCAATCAGGAACAAGCAGGTTTATTTCGGTAAAAGCAAAGTGTGTGACACCTCACTGTCGCCTGATTGTAGATTGTTGAGACAAAAAAGGTGAAAGCCAACAATGTGTATCTGATGCCATGCACTCTCAAAATCAGTTCCCATTTTATAGTCCAGAGGCTTAATCAACACACCTTTTTGCTTCCCTTCCTCTTCTTCTCTCCTGCTTGTTTCCCTCTTCCCTCTCTCCCTCCCTCCTTCCTCCTTTTGTCTCCTAAACCTCTTCTTCTCCCTTATTGCTCCCTTTCAGCATTCTCTGAACTTTCTTTCCCTCCCTTTCTGCATTACCCTCACCTACCTCCCTTTTCTCCTATAGCTGTCCCTCTACTCTCAGTAAAATAAAGAAATGATCATCTGTGGTGAAACAGTAGTGAAACAGCGAGACAAGCGTGCAGAATAACATGCTGCTTGTTTCTCCTCTCTCACTGTCCTTTATTAGTTCTCCTCTTCTCTCCTTTCCTTGCTCCTCACATCCCTCCTCTCTCTTTTAGGGAAAAATCTGCGGTAATCAATATCGTCATCAGGGTAATTGTCAGCATTTACCCCCACAATGCAAATTGCAAATTAAAAATCTGCATGTGTATGTACATGTGTGCATCATAGCAGTATTTTAAAATGTGGCTGTCAGTGCACACCCACAAAATGTCTCTGCTCCTAGTTTATCTCATTGTTTGAACAGCGCTGCTTTAATTAGGACAGGCCTGTCTATCCGTGTGTGTGTGTGTTAGCAAGTGTGTGCATGTGCCCAAAAGTGAGTAACAGAGTCAGAGTGTGTGTGCATGTTACCATAGTGCCCCCATGTGGAGGACTGCAGAAGATCATATATTCTATAGTCTTGTTTCTCCACACACCCGCACACACACTCACACACTCCAATGACACGGTGTTATATTTGGAAACACAATTTCATGCTATCAGTACTGGCTAGCTATTCCATTTAGATAGCAGTCTATATGTGTGTGTGTATGCGTGTATACGTGCACGTGTGCTTATGCTGGCGTGCGCGGTTGATGTGTCTGCATGTATGCATCTGTTTGTGTGTCTGTGAGTGCACAAGCTGTCTGTGCATTTCACAGAGACGAGTCCCTTTTTTCCCCCAAGTTTATTGAAATTAAAAGTTGGTTGTCATGGTAACATTTGGATTCCCAGTAATTATGTTGATTAAAAATGTGAAAATTAATTAAAAAGTCAGGAAAATGATCTCACAGCAGATGATCAGCGAAACATCAAAATGATTCAGATCTCTGTCTCCCTTTCTCCCCCCCCCCCGCCCTCTCTAATACACACAAGTCTCGTCCTCTTCCTGTCTTTCTCTGTCGCACTTCAGAAGTCCTTTATTGCCACGCAACACTGAATTATCTACATTCATCTCTCACACGTGCTTTGTCTCAGTCTGTTTCTTCCTTCCTTTCACACTTACACACACAATTTATGACATGAGATTCGTCTTCATGTCCAAAAAGCACGACAACAGCAGCGATAGTAAAAATAACTTACACACAAAACAGCACCCCTTACTTTGCTTCGTTTCGTTTCAATCAGTCAACTCATTCTCAACTTGTTAACAAGCTTGACAAGACTCGTCTCATGCCGCCAGAGCAGACACATCAGCAGCAAAAGTAACGCACAACAACAGCAATCTCGCCGTCTCACTTTCTCTCTCTCAGTCTCTCCATTACTCGGGTTCTCTCAAAATCCGTCTCTTATTCTCGGTCTCTTTCTCTCTGACAGAATGAATAAACAGGCTCAGCAAAGTGTAATCTCTTTCTTTTATTAGCAACAGCAAACACAGAAACAATGAAGTTACCCTCCTCCCTCCCTTTCTCCACTCCGTCTGCTCTTCTCCTCTCATCAGCTTTAATGAACCACAAATCTCATCAGCCATCTTTTCATCAGCTCTGCCATCACTACTTCCTGCACTTTAAACCTGACTACTTATAGCAGCGTGGGCTCTTTCTGCTCTTGGCTGCTGACCAGGAGGACTGTACATAATTGATATTTAGCTGTAAGGTAGAATACATGTAGATTTTCCCCAAATATTTCTTGGTGTTTACAGTCAGAGTCGATATTAAGCAGAAATCGGTTATGACAGTTTTCAGTGGTGGCAGTGTTGGTGTGACAGTCCTGCTCCACGGCTCGGGTTTACTAAGTGGTGATTCACTGCCAGCTGATCCTCGGCATGTTCAATATCTCACCATGGTGATGTTAAGGAGGACGGTGTTGTATATTTGCAGCCATCAGTTGACAGAGGTGGGAGCATAATGATGGCTTTGTACAGCCCGACCTATTTCTCTCTGTACCTGTGTTAACAGTCTTTGTGAAACTTTCCATTATTCTTTAAAGCTACAGTTTGTAACTTTTGTGTCATTGACGTTTTGTCATATTTGCTGAAACTGTCACTAAATTCACAAAATGAGACAGATAGTGTGTGAAAAAAAATCATGTCCCTCTTCCTGCCTGTAATGGCTACCACAGAGCACTGACAACCAATTAGAGCCGATGAACTGCTAATGTAGCTGTCAATCATGTCAATCACTGCTCGTGAACTGCAGTTAAACTGTCAAACTAGGCAGCGCTGATCAAATGTGAATCAAGATTCTGTTATTGCACTGCCTGTTTCTCACCTCAAATGTTTTCAGAAACATATTTTAGTGTACTGTTTAGCTGTGACCACCATGGGGTCTAGAGCATCAACATCGTGTCTCTCTCCACTTTCAAATCCCACCTCAAAACTCATCTCTTTCATATAACCTTGTCAGTATGACTCCCTCTAGCCACACACATCCATCATTTACACAGAATTTTCTTCACTTGTTTTGTTATGTTATTATCTTATCATCCATATCCTGACTTTTTAATCTGCTGTTATTTTCTCGAGCCTTGCCTGTAAGGTGACCTTGGGTGTCATAAAAGGCAGCTATAAATAAAATGTATTCCTAAATGTATTATTATATTTATTAAAATGAGAACATTTGTGACCAAGCTGCCATGCTGGAAATAGTAGAGCGATGCACCAAACACTGCCCACCGGCTGGCCCAGTTTTCTCATTTTACAGCTAAATAGTACACTAAAACATGTTTCTGAAAACATTTGAGGTGAGGATTAGGCAATGCAGTAACAGAATCTTGATTCTTATTTAATTACCACTCCCTAGTTTTGACAGCTTGATGTTGTCAGTTCATGAGCAGTGATTGACATGATTGACAGCTGCGTTAAAGACTCCTCAGCTCCAATTGGTTTTGTTCTGGTGCAGTAATGCCATTAGACGCAAAAACAGGAGGCAGAAGATTTTTTTCACAGATCTCCTGCAGGTGTCTGGAATACTGACAGTTTCAGCAAATATGACAAAAGTTATTTTTATGAATGTTACCAACAGTAGTTGTAAGGAGGGTAAAAACTAGATGGCGTGAACATTCATTTTGTTTGATGTTAGTGATACTAATACTGTTGTTTCGTGTAACTACATCCTGCAGAGAGCATAACATGAGAATGATTTTCTGAAACATGTAAACGAAATCTTTCATGTATAAAACACATCTCACAACCATGATGCCGAGCCAAACCATTGACCACATGCGGAGCCGCCCCTCTCTGTAGGCAGAGGGGGCCCACCTCTCTCCACAGGGCCACATCTTGGCTTGGCCTCATCTTCAAAAGGTGGTGGTCACAGTGTGTCAGGGAAATTAAGAAAGTCTGCCAATTTCAATTCATTAGGCACAATGTGGGGCACACCATCAGTGAAAAATGTCTTTACAGCAGGATACTAATGAGCATATCAAAGCGATTGTTCCTAAAGTATCATGTTTTTTATATCATATTTTGTGTTGTAACATGTTTTGAGACAGTGATTGTTGCTTTGAGGGGCACCATGTCTCCATGGTGATGACATATATTATATTCTATTACATGTCTGTTTGATTATACTACATATATAAAATTGTCTTATTTTAGATACATTAGATTTGTTGTTTTCATCTGTACACGGGGCTGTTGGTAAAACGTGTTTAATTGCTCTGCTTCTCTTACATTCCAGGATCAATCTAAAACACATTTCAGTCTTTTTCCAGCAGTAGTTTTAATGAAATTTCAGCTTTATTCAAGTTTCTTTTCAGTTCATTTCAATTAAATCAGTCATTTCTAATTAAGTCATGTTCAGATATGAACTACTTTTATTCTTTATCCATTACAGTTGTTTTGTATTCATACATTGATATCACAGTAGTACTCTTTTTTTCTTTTTTTTTGCTTTAACAGTAATATTACTTTAGCTCTGTGTTTTCTTGACTCTCTAATTTAACGCCAAGTGTGTTAGCTCCATTTCATTTAAGGCTTTTAATATTAGTCCAAACAGAGAATGCCAATGAAAGCTTGTGTGGTTTACATGTGCACCAGTGTGTGAATATGTTTCTTCATTTTTGATTGTCATGCTTTCTACTTCCTCCTGGTAGGAGTGGGACTCTTCACTCCTTTTCCGGCTGCCTTAGGAGGGGCGGGGCTAGCAGAGGGGGCAGGGCTAGGAGCTGGCTGGGCCTTGGGCTGAGGCATCTCAATGGGGAGCTTGGGAGGGATGATTGTTTTAGGGGTCAGAGTTGGCTTTGCCTCTGGGATTTTCTCTCCGTGACGGTACACACTGACCTGGAGCAGCAGAATAAGACATGATGTTGGTATTACATACTCTACAGTATGTATGTAGAGTTTCAAACATTGTACAGCATTTTAAAATATCATTTTGAGTCATGAGTAAAGAATATTGTAGATCAGGCTTTTGCGTTATATTTTCATGTTAAAACTGTCAAATCAGGGTCAAACAAAAATCACAAGTTCACATATCAGCACTCTGAGTTCAACACAAGTGTGATCACAAAAATATCTCGCTGTTTAGCCCCAATGAAAAGACAAGATTTGTGCCACAGATGGTCAGAAAAATTCCATGGCTCTGACTAAATCCAGTCATTTACAGTGACACTCACCACTATATCCACAGACTCCCCTCCGTATTTGTTCTGGACAATCATGCTATATCTGCCAGAATCCTCCATGGTAACACCTTTGATCGTCAGACTGGCAAACTTGCCCTGGTCCAGGGAGACCACGTACTGAAAAAGGAAATCAAAGGTTAAAGAAGCGAAACAGCCAGCACAGGGAGTTTAGCATGATTTCACATTTAAAATGTCTGTCACTTTGAGTCTTATTTTATAAATTGATTTATGTTTTACTTTTACTCAGAGAAGCAGCATGAGCTCTGATTACCACCTTCCTTTAGCCAAACCTGAGCACTGATAGATGGGCTTTGTGGACACAAGGACTAATGATCTATTCCAGTTAGGGTTGTAGCCGTGGACCGTGAAACTGTATAGCTTGGTGTGAAACTTGACGGCCATCATACCATGTACATCTGCTTATCTACAGTACTGATTACATGAAACTATGATATCTTCTGAGACAGTTATCGTACCATGAAAGTCTTGTACCATTGTAACCCTAAGTCTAGTCTATTTTCTATTCTAATCTGATGTGCCCTGTTGGCTCAACCGTAATATGACTGGATCAAATGTCAACAAAAACATATTCCATATGCGCTTCTTGAGACTGCAAGAACAAAACAATTCATGCTGAAAGCCTTCAGAGTAGAAGCACACTTGTGTAGATGTTCTTCAGACACCAGAGACGAGATAGAGTATTTGTGTTGTACTGTGTGTGCGGTGCTGGCGTGAATACGCTATTTTAATTTCCCTCTTACATACAGTACCTGCCCACTCGTTTGCAAGGTCTGGGCATTAGTACATTTTCATGGAGTGGCACTTGTAGCAGGCTAATTACATTCCTATTAAGAGAAACACTCGCCTTTAATTTTGAGAAATTAAAAGCTCTGCTGGCCTTAAAATCAAATAGACCTCCAAAAAAATAAATGAAAGGGAAAAAAATGCAATTGATGGCCTTTTTCTAATTAACATGTAATATGGTCTTGGATAATTGCTTTCATTTATTACCAGTGTAGGCAAATCTGTGGGTTGCTAGATTCTCTTTTATTTGACTGACAAAAGGTAGCTGCTGTATAAAGCATCATGTTAGGTGTTTTGTGACAAAATGTTAAAAATGATAAATTTCTGGTGTTCACGTCCTGCTCCAGCAGACCTCTATTTAAACCTGTTACAGTAACACCTATTCCTGCTCTGAGTTTCAGTGCAGTATTCTCTGGGTCTGTATATATTTCTGTTTGTTTTTCTGTTAATATCCTCGGTATCCTCTGCGGTAACGAGGTAGGGGAGGCGCACTCCTGAGGTTTGGAAAACACATCACCAAGGACGTCAGCTCTTGTTTTAGACAGATTATTAGCAGGTGAGGGAATGAATAAAGAAGAGGGCAAACTTCAACACATATTCCACCTGGACCGCGGTTTCTCAAACTTAAATCTTCAAAGCCGTTAAGAGCCGCAGGATGCTGATGCTGTTGAAAGAGCCTCTGCTGACTGGGGATAGGCTGTAGACGTATACTGGTTGGCAAGTAGGTCAATGAGTTGTGAGAGGTAGATTTGTTCCATTACCGTTCCAGGAGTGTGCTGATAATGCTGACCTCACCTAAAGTATGCAGATCCCTCCAGTGTGGGATTGTAACTGGTGCTGAAGTCTCCCCCCAAAACCAGGTAGAGGCCTTTAGTTCCCCTTAATCCTGATCACCTCAGCAGTGGATATAGAGACTGTATAGAGACTTCCAGCAGTGCAATCAGTCAGTTTCCAACGAGGAGCTAAAGTGCATCACTGGGGATCTTATTCATCAGTTTCAATTTTGTATACTAATTAAAATTTAATTGAAACATACACTACTTTGAAAGTACTTTGTTCATTACCACCTCAACATTTTCTCCGGTATTTCCTGCATCTCTTATTCATGTATTACTTTTTCATTACTTACACTAGTTTCATGTCATTTTAAAGGTAAAATGCCTGTCAAGAACACTTACTGTGATCCTAAAACTATTACTGTAGTCATGGTTGTACATTGCATTTTAACATTGTAGTGCACATTAGGGACGCTACCCACATGAATCCAAAGAGTGTGCAAAATATTAAAACACAGTCAAAGCCACGGGGAGTAACACAACAGAATCCAGTAGACACGTACTGAGTGTGGAAACCTCATACTATCATGAGATGAGTTAATAGAAACACACTATTGCAATTGTGTCTGATTAATAAGGTAATTAATCATGGGAAAGAAAGGAAGACCCGGGTTTGGTTAGGGAGTAAACATCTTCAGGAGTCAGCAGTAGCATGTGGCAGGTGGGAACCAAAGACAGGAACAAGGTCCTGCTTGAAGTGTGTGTTAGTGTGGCTGAAACTTTTACCTGATCGTCAGGTTCCACATCAGCTCCGTTCTTCAACCATGAAACCTGAGGCTTGGGGTCCCCACACACTGTACATGTTAAACTCAGGGTCTATAGGAAGAATAAATATCACCTGTTATAAACAAACATTCACACATGTACAGTTACTAAAATCACACATTAGACACTCACCTTCTTTTCCATAATGGTGACCACATCCGGCAGTCCTCCAATCACCTTACCACGGTCTGAAACAAACCATCATTAACATAACTAATCATTTCTTTTGCTTCTTATATTTATGATGAACTTTGGGTCCTAATTTTCTGTAAGACCACTAAACAATCAGTAGCTTTATACTTTTTTGAGACAGTTGGCCCCATTTAAGTGCATGGTCTAAAGCTGTGGTTCCAAACTGGTCCAGCCACAGGGTCCAGATTTCCCCTTAGTCTTTAGTTCAAGGTCCACACAGTTTAATATATTCAGTGTCATGCTTGCATTTGGCCATGTATGTCGTAAAGATAGTTTGCTGTCTCTGTCAAGTAGCTCTCTGTTAGTCACTCACGCTACAGCAGGAAATGGCACTTCAAAAGAAATTCACTGTGCTTATAAATAAAGGGTGTTTTTTACAAACTTGACATGTTTGTGAGTCACTTGTGGTCCATTCATAATGGACCCGTGACCCACTTTTGGACCGTGACCTGCCAGTTGGGAACCACTGGTCTCAAGTGCATGGCAGAGCTGCATTAAGGGTGTGTCCAACTCCACTTTTTCAAGTTAAACGGTACAAAATCTTGGCACCAAGTAAGGCTCAAGGGACAAAGGGGTTGTATTAAGTCCCTTAATGAATCATAGGTGGGTTTTGGGCATAACATGATTCAACCAATCAAAGTGTCATCTCCCATCCCCTGTAAAAGCCAGGTGCACTGACATTTCGATCGTGAATTGTGCATATTGGAGAAGCAAGCGGTTTTCCGCTGAGAGTAATGCAGTAACAGCAGCAGTGTCACTGCAGCAAATATTGTGGGACGTTTAAGCAGCAAAAGTAAAAACTGACGTCATAAACCTGAGGAAACAACAAAACTTTCAGTTTCTGAAATAATCATGAAGTTAAGCTGCTCCTTGTGCGTAAATGCGGACAGCAGCTCTGCTCACATTTTAGAGAACGGAATTAATATTTTCAGCAGTGATGTATTATTTCACCCACCTGCAACCAATCCACACATTCCTGTGTGTGTAATGAGGCAAGTGTATGCGTGTTATGAATGCGGTTATGTAGGTGCATCTTACTTTGTGAATAATGTGCCCTTTTAAATAGCACTTTGTCATTCTGACTTTAGACCAGGTATTTGTTAGTCAATGGAGCAATTGCTGTGAAAATGGCAACTGAGAGAGTCTGAAACTAGCAATGACAGTTGCGCTGCACTATGATATCTATAGCATAGGGCCCAATGTCTGTACAATGCAAATTTTTAAACAGGTGACTGTAGAAAGTAAATATTAAAAAATGTAAATGCGTTAAAGAAATAAACAGAATGAGAGGATGGACTCACTCTTGTCAGCATAGGCCTCAGCCCTGAAACACACAGAAAATAAAGTTAGATCTGTCTCTGCTCTACTAATACAGCAAACCTGCAGTATTGTTATCATACACGGTATTGAGAACAACACTGTGACCTAAAATATGTATCTCAATATTAATTTGTCTTCAATATAAAGCCAACAAATAACTCTAAGAGTGTAAGATGTAACCCTGTTTTGTAAATGTGGTACAGCCAAGTTTGGTTATGGTCTGTTTCCACTACCTGGCTCTGCCCATCGACCACACACACACACACACACACACACACACACACACACACACACACACGTACACACATATTTCCCATTTTTGGGTCAGTGGCAGCGGTCAGATGGTTTACCACAAGGTATTCTGGGTTTACAACCAAAGCACATAATACTGTAGTTTACCTAGGGACTTAACAGAATCTTTTCTATGGGAAAAATGGTATTGCTTTGTAATCACTGGGTGAGGGCTGTCGGAACAGCATGGGAGGACCAGAGGTCAGCCACAGGACCAGATGGCTGGGGGAACTCTGCTCTCCTTTCAGCATATTGATGCTCAATCAAAAGGGCAACAGGGTGTCACTTGTTTCAGTGTGTTTGTAAAATCTTGTGCTTAAATGTCTCTCTTTGAATGTTAATTAGAAAAGGGATTTGGACAGTTTCCACTCGGCATGCAGTGTTTTGTGTTTGGAGTTTCAATTGATTTTTCTAAATGGATTTGCAAAATTTAGTGTGCGGGGGTTTCGCTTTGGCCCAATTAGCCAAAGGACCCAAAAGGATCTCTGCTACCTGACTGCTTCTATTTTTTAACTTTCATTTTCACCTAAAATTGTGATATTCTGGACTTTTTCCAGACAGCCGTACTGGGGTTTTGGAATCACTGTGCTTTGTAAAATTTTGAAATATTCATTAAAACATTATAAATTGAAATATAGCTCTATTTCCTTAAAAGTGTGCAGTGTTAACAAATACATCAACTACAAACATGTGTGCCATCTTACACAAAAAGTATAGAAAAACCATCTAATAGGTGAGTGGCAACAGAACATTTCAGTAGTTACAGTTCAGTTTCAGCCACACAAGAATCATTGGCAATGCCCAATAGACGCAGCAGTTCCGGTGTTTGCAAAAAGAAGAGTAAAACAGCAGCACAGTAGATGCATCAAAGAGTGGGCTGTCTACTGATCGTTTAAATTGATTATCTTATTGGAAAAGGGTGTGTGGGATCTACATGCATTTCGCGGTCAGTGAAGCTGTGTGTGTAGTAAAAGCTCATCTCAAGTTGTCTGGCTGAACATGTCTGCAGGCTTTACTCTAACAGGATCTTGTAAGCAGACAGTTTGAAATGTTGAGATTAAAATATAAATTAGTTTCATTTCTTGGAGATGTTTTTAATATTCAAATATCATCAAAACCACTCAGTCAAAATGCCAAATGTATTTATGATAAACTGTTGTGCTTTACTTTTTCTGTAAACACGAATGAATAATATGGTTTTCAGTAACACAAAGTATCCCAGGCGATCATTATACATCACATTTAGCTACCAGGTGTCAAACCTGCGGTGATGAAGCAGTCTAAGTTCAAATGTGAGGGAAACAGTGATTCATCATTAGCAGAGTTTGTCTGACTAAAACACACACAGAGAGGCACAAGTAAAGAAAGAGTTGAGAGTGTTGTCTTACTTGAGTTTCTGGAACTCCGCGTAGGCCTTTTCATATACTGTAAAAGACAAAAACAGAATTTTGCTGTTACTGTTCACCACACTAATTGTCTCCTCACTTTATTTCAAAGTGATACTGCTCTTAAAAATGTACCTTTTAATATAAAAAAGGATTTTCATTGCCGTTGACTGATTCTCTGTATTTGTTGTGCATATGACAATAAAAAAACTTGAACTGTAAAACACTGAATCGCAGCTTAAAACGTGGCTGCTGCTCGCTCCGTCATGTAACTGCAGCTCTACTCCTGGCACTGATTAAACCCCTAAAACTCACCTCTGTTCATCAAAATTACATAATTAAAAGTTTTTTTCCATTAATAAATATCCCATCATGTCTTTAAATTGCTCATATGTAACTCTACACCTTTGACTCATTTAGTATGTGCAGAACAATGAATATGCAAATTAGTCCTGCCCCTCAGCCACTCGCCCGCAGCTCCAGTGTAGCTGCTCACCTTCGACTCTACTAATCAAGCACACAAACCTCTGCTTGTAAACAGTAATGGATAACACGAGCCTTCGGCTGGACTATCAAACAGCTAATAATGGGCTGCTAGTGTTAGATTAACCTTTTTATTAAGACAGTAAATAGTACAAAGTCGTACATCCCTTCACATTTTGTCAAAGAAGACAAATGACAGACTAAAAATAACCATTAAGAAAATTAAAAAAGACACCATTTTAAATTATGTGGCAGACAGTTCAACAAATTAGTTATAATGATGTATGGCAGATGAACTTTTCTTATTACTCACATGTTCCAGAGACTGCATTTTAAATAAACAAATCTATCAAAAAAAAAAAACCTTTTCAACAGGGCGATGACTTGGCAAATTTAATTTGTGAATATTAAATTTACCAAACAGCATCATAAGATTTATTATAAACAGTAACATCTTTAAAGGGACAGTTTGGGATTCAGTAGATGGCAGACGGTGCACCCCCAGTTTCGAGTTATGCCACGGAGGCTCGGCAATACACTGCTGTGAACAAGGGTTGACACCGAAATGTATTTAAGTTATCTTTAAAAAAAATAAAATTAAAAAAAAAAAGGCCTAGCTAAAGAAATTCCATATCAATTTCAGTGGACACTATATCAGGGTGTCTACAGGTATCAGACAGTTACATTTAATGCTTTTAAAGACCCGTTCAAGACTTTTAACCAAATTTAGGACAGATTTTCAGACAAATCATGTTTTACTTATTTAAAGGGATAGTGCACCCAAAAATGAAAATTCAGCCATTATCTACTCACCCATATGCCGATGGAGGCCCTGGTGAAGTTTTAGAGTCCTCACATCCCTTGTGGAGCTTGGCGGGTGGAGCGGCTAGCACACCTAATGGCAGATGGCGACCCAGACTAACGTCCAAGAACACAAAATTGAAACCACAAAATATCTGCATACTGCTCATCCATAGTGATCCAAGTGTGCTGCAGCCGCGACATAAATAGTTGTTTCGAAAAACGTCATATGAACTCTGTTTATAGCCTCACTGTAGCCTGTAGCTCAGACTGCTTCTCTGTGCTCCGTGCTCGCGTGTGCGCACTTGCGCGCGACCAGCGAAAGTAAGAGCTTTGCTCACCCGTGTTTACATCACGTGACACGTGCACCGCACAGGGAGACAACGGTAACCACAGTAGCTAAAAGATAATTTGCATTACAGTGTTTTAGCAAAGGACAACCCAACATGTCTGAAGACTCTGAAATTGAGGAGGAACAGCATTTCTTTGTTGAGCCGTATTTGTTTGAGTCCGAGTATACGGACGAAGCAGCCGCCGCAGCTCATGAGCCTCAGCCAGCCGCAGAATACCGGTGTTGCACCGAAATCTGTGACCGTCGGAATCTGTGACCGCTGTAGAGCCATCAGAATATGTGACCTCTGTGTTTCTATCTCTGTGATGATCCCAAATACAAATATATGTGTCCATATTAATGTGAGAGGATGACAGAAGGATTGAAAACAGTTATTTTGAGGTTTAAACTCATTATTATGCAGATTGAGTGAGGTCACATATTCTGATGGCTGTGCATCTAGCTCTTTACAGTTGAACTTTGAAATGAAAATACATCTGTCCAAATATTGAGGCAATAACAGAGCACCTGTGTCGATGTTTACTCATTTATTAAACAGTGCATACATTATCACACAAAACGTTGTTATAATAAAAGTAATTTACAACATCTACCTTAAGGCTATCTACTTTCCATTGCCATTGTTGATGGCCACACACACGCAGACAATGTGCAACATCGCCCTCTGCGGTCACAGATTCCGACGGTCACAGATTTCGGTGTAACACCGGAGACGAGCACTGGAAACCTGGTGGTGTAGTTGTTTCAAATGCAAAGCAATGCCAACGGATGAGGAAAGTCTTTGCTGCTCAGACTGGGAATTGGCAATGCCTGCACTTGAGAATCTGGACATCAGTACTGACGAGACTGCTGCTCTTCAGAGACCGTGCATCACCGATCACCCTGAGCGCGCACATGTGAGCGCAGAGCACAGAGAAGCAGTTAGAGCTACAGGCTACAGTGAGGCTAAAAACAGAGTTCATATGACGTTTTTCGAAACAACTTTTTATGTCGCAGCTTCAGGACACTTGGATCACTACGGATGAGCAGTATGGAGATACTTTGTGGATTCAATTTTGTGTTCTTGGACGTAAGTCTGGGGCGCCGTCTACCATTAGGTGTGCTAGCCGCTCCCGCTGATCTCCACAAGGGATGTGAGGACTCTAAAACTTCACCAGGGCCTCCATTGGCATATGGGTGAGTAGATAATGGCTGAATTTTCATTTTTGGGTGCACTATCCCTTTAAGCATCGCAGATAAGCATTGCAGGCAAGTAGTATATATGTGGTCTTGAAATATGTAGTAGTAGAATGTAGAGTGTGTATATGTAGAGTTAAATCAATCTAAATTTTTCCAACAGGTAAGTGCAGGTATGATGTAAAATGACAGCATTATAGTTTTTTAAAGATTTGTAACATAAGAAATGTGTACTTTAACATAGAAGGGCTTCACTCATTTTCACAAAAAGAAATTAAGAAATGGATAAATTAAATCAGATAAAATGTCTGCAGTAGTTAAGACCTCAACAAATTCAAATGACCTTTAAGGCCTTATTGTTGTAACATTAATTTCAAGACATTGTAAGACTTTGTAAGGACTTGTAGACACCCTGTATATTGAGGATATTTCCACCGCTTTACCTCACCATCAGACAGCCCTTTCCTTTGGCACTACATTTTCTCAACCGTGAAACTTCTGTATTACTGTGCCACCATTGCCACGAGCTGTATTACTCCACAGGTCCGCTTTTTGGGTCAGAAAGTGCTGTTACAAGATTAGACGTTAAATAAACTTTTCTTTTGTAAATAAGCCATCTACTGAAAGTTTCACACTGACCATAGTACCTCATACAGCCCCACTTCAAAAATCCCAAACTATCCCTTTAATATCAACTTTAATAGAGCGACTTGTATTCCTTAACATAATATATTCATTCATAACCCCTGGGTGGGGGTTTAGAACCCCGGAATGGGGGAGTCCTGTGCGGAGTTTGCATGTTCTCCCCCTGTCAGCGTGGGTTTTCTCCAGGTACTTGGCTTCCTCCCACAGTCCAAAGACATGCAGGTTAATTGGTGACTCTAAATTGGCCGTAGGCATGAATGTGAGTGTGAATGGTTGTCTCTATGTGTTAGCCTTGTGATAGTCTGACGAACTGCCTGATGTCAGCTGGGATAGGCTCCAGGCCCCCTGCGACTCCTAACAGGACAAGCGGTTACGGAAAATAGATGATTGTATATTTCCATATCTGTCCAAAATTGATAGAATATGAATAACTATGAAACAAATGTGTCAACGTTGCAGGCTCACTTTTGCAAAATGTATATTTTCATTCAAGTCAGTAGATCTTGTCACCATTACACTGAAAAGGTAGAAATTGTGCAAAATCATAAAATGAACTTCAAGTGTTAGGAAAACCTTGTTCCTGATGCCAGCTGTGATAAGTTAAATTGAAACTTTGCATGCAAAATACGACAGCTTCTCCTCTGACACCCCTTGTTTTAAAAGTTGACGGGATTGGTTCCCTAGATATATGATTAGTGAAACCGTGGCTGTCTGAATCTGTGTTTTTGAGACTGTTATTGGTTTACTGCTGTCTCAAAGCTGAAATGCTCAGCCATTGCATTGACTGCTTATTTTGCTTGTGATATGTCTTATAAAATATGTCAGAAAAAAACACCATATGGAAATGTTAACGAGTTTAAAAACTTTAATTTTCACTGGAGGGGGTGTTTAATAAATGATAGCTTAACTAACATATTTTAATAAAAAAAGATTTAGATACACTACATCTGGCATAGTTTCAGAACTTGGGGAGTAATGTGACATCCAAGCCAATAACTGTCAAAAATATTACTGGAACATAGTGAGTATATTGGGAGGACGGGAAATAAGCTGAATATGTGTAAGGAGCAGTTTGAAGAGTTTCTTTTGATATTTTGATACTTCTCCTGCATGAAGACCCGTCCCTATTGGAATCCATTGTAACCGTCATGAATTCAATACAGCTGCTTTTTTGTACAAGAGCAAACGGCAAACTTTTTACAGCCAGTCCTCAAGCCTACAGGGATGAGTGTTTGATACTCAAAAGAAAGATTTTGGCTGGAGTACCACTTCAAAGTCTTAAACTACAGACTGAAGCCAAGAGCTCCATAAAAACAAGCGACTGTGTTGTTTCCAGCCCCGCTTTTACTGTACTGTCAATGAAAAGAGTGAGTGACACTGAGAGAGGAGGAGGCACTGACCTTCACCGCTGAGGTCCATTGTGCGTTTGTGTGAGGTTTCAGGGTCGGTGATCACGATGGAGTAAGATCCTTTGTCCTTGTCCACCGGCTCAATCACCTGTAAATCAATCAATCAATTAAAAAACCCATCAACTAATCAGTGTCGGGCTATTTATTTCTACTTTAATTCATGGTTTGAAAAAGACTCATTCATCTAGCTGGTAATTACAGTTATAAAGCTTTGTGACAAAAAGCAAAAGGAAGATACGCTGCTTAATTAATTAAGTTTAATGAATTTTTAAATTTATGATGTTTTTATTCAAGGTGGGATTATCTCATTCGTCTTAAAGTTGCCCTGGTATCACCTCTACAAAGACACTCTGAGGACTTTTAAGCAACATTGCTACTCCCCGCAGGGCTTTACTGTCGTAAAATTACCCATGTACGATCCACCTATACTGTTTAGTACTGTACAGGAGACAATAATACCTCCATGGTTGCCATAGCAGGGGTTCCTCCAATCACAATCTTGTCACTGTGGGAGAGTTTAGTCTCACTGAGGAGAAGAGAGCAGAGGAGAGGTTAGTGTTTATGTGTGTAGTGTTTGTGAGCAGGTGAAGCCTGTTGCGGAGGTAATGGAAAATCATGTTTACATGCCTGCCTAATGTTACGCATAGGGATACCAATTCCTTTCTCTCCTGCTATCTGTGGCTCACTCACACACTCACAGAATGAACAGGGAGAGGTTAAAAATCTAATCTCCATAATTTTTGTTCTTTGAATAATTGAATAACAGAAAAGCCTCCACTACCCCCTGTCACCCTTCTCTCTTTTCTTTCGCTTCACTTCATTTTTTTTCTTTTTGTCATTTTTTCTGTCGGTCTTTCCTCCTTTCTGTTCTTCCTCCACATTTTAAAATCTCCAGGGTACGACAGAGTGCTTTTAAGTGCAGGAAAACCCTGCTTCTTTATAGAAAATGATAGGGGTGGGATTTTTGTCACAAAACAGGGCCATTTTACTGCAATAAGCAGGATAATGAAAACACTTGCCAACAGCCATCACAAGTTTTATTATGTTGCTTATTGTTTTTGCCACTCCCGGCAGTTTAACTTGAGAGAAAAGCGGAATAATGTGTTTGTGGTCAGCATGTTTATAGGCAAACTTTAAAGAATACTCTTATTCCTCCTAAAACCACTGCTGCGACTACAAATACTGGAGTTATTGTCATTATTTTCTTCTTCTTCTTCTTCCTCTTCTTCTTCTTCCTCACAGTAGTACTTGTTGGTGGTGCTGTGGTGGCAGTGTTATTAGTGTTATAAATATAATTTCTTACCCATGATACCAGGTGATGTTCATCTCTGAGGTGTAATACTTCATGTGACACTGCAGCTGAATGCCTGTTGCTGTGCAGTTAATCACCAGCTCTGCTGCACTGGCACCTAGAGGGGGTGATGGAGGTGATGGAGGTTATGGAGGTGCACATTTGAAATGAGAATCTGATACATATTTTCCATCTGCTGCTGGATAACCTGGCCTCTCTGAACGATGCACTTTATTGCGCAGAATTAATCAGATAAAATCAAACCTCCATCTGCAGCCATTTGTAGCATCTATTTTAAGACTTCCCTTTTTATGTTACCTTTATCCAGCTTGGAGAGCAGAATTGCACTAATGAAACAGAGTGCAGATTTTAGAGTGCAGCCTGTTTGTATGCTGCATTCAATAAAACGCTTCAAACATCAGAAGCTTTAATAACTTTTTTTCCCTAAAAAGCTATTATACCTCAAAGGGAGTTTTATACTACATTCTGTCTGTGTGGGACTTTGCTCACTGCACATTACAAGTGTACAAGTGTGTCATCCACCTGGTCACATCACCATGGTTTCCCATTATCACAGTAATGAACCCTCTTCTCCTCTGCAACCACTGCTGTAACAGTTGCTGCAGAGCTGTCAAGTGACTGTCTCTTAAAATAGGAGTAAGATGCTCCTCCACACTGTCACTGTGACAGCGCAGTGGAATTTTAAAGTGATTTCACCACATGATGGCATGATGGCCAAATGCTTCCAGCATGACAACTTCTGCCACACGCTGATAAGTGTGCGTGTGTGTGTGTTTGTGTGTGTGTGTGTGTGTGTGTGTAGCAGTGGGATTTTAAAAACAGAAATGTATCAGCCTGGTGATGGATCTCCTAAATCTTTTATCAATGTGGTGTGATTGTGTCGTGTTCAGATAATTTGCACTTGATCCCTTCAGTGGGTAGAGGATGATGACGCCGATGTTTAGTACTGCTTTTAATATGGATATGTGTTAGTGAGATAATTGATGTCTGTGTGTGTGTGTGTGTGTGTGTGTGTGTGTGTGTGTGTATAAAAGGCAGATACCCACCAGCCAGTTGGCTGATCTTGTTTATGGCTTCGTCAAAGACTAGAAGAGAGGCAGAAAAACACGGGGTCAGGGAAAGAGCCAAGAGGAGGAAAAGTCACGATGCTGCCCTCTGGTGGCTGCGTTCAATGCTCAGTACGGAGAGGTTCATCTTCAGGGTGTTGTCTCTGTATCTCTGCTGCCATTATTATTAATATATTTACTGAATACTTGTGTTCTTTGCTGCGGTGACCCAACTTAGGTAAAATGGAGGTAAAAGATGTGAAGAGCTGTACTTGTCAGCTAATGTCTGATAAGATACTTGCTAACCTCTAATCGAGAAGGGATATAATGGGATCTTAAAAGGACAGTGATATTCAATTTTGCCATCAAAATGCATTACGAAGTACAAGCTTAATGTATTACAGAGTACTAGAGCTGCAACATTTAGTCAATTAATTGATTAGTCAATCAAAAGAAAATAAATCGCCAACTATTTTGATAATCACTTATTTGTTTCATTAATTTTTCAAGCAGAAATGTCAAACGTTTGCTCATTCCAGCATCTTAAATGTGAGAATATGCGGCTTTTCTTTGTCATTCATGACAGTGAATAAAGAATCCTAGGGTTTTGGACTGCTGGACAGACAAAAGAAGCAATCTGAAGATGTCAAGATTGTGATGAGCTTTTTTTTTTCTTTTACATTTAAGGGCCTAAATGATTAATCAGTTAGTCTTGATTAGTCCAGCTTATTTGATAATGAAAATAATTATTACTTGCAGCTCTACAGAGCACCAGCTTACTTCAAACAACTTTTACAGGAACATTAAAATGGATTTTTCTCAGGAATAAATACAGCCAGCAGGTGAGCGAGCTGTCACATGGCAAGAACTATTTTTATACCCTTGCTGGAAAAACAAAGTTGGGGTTTTTAAAAATTCATTAGTTTACCGTATACAGATAGAGTCTTTACATTTGGATCATATTTGTTTTTCCTGTCTCCCACTTTTTAATGAGCATCAAGCTCTTTTTCCGTTCATGCTCAGTTAGAAAACCAGCCAGGCGGCACGTCAGTGAATTACTCCCGTAATTAATCAGCGAGATAAATTAAGACAGATATGTTTACCTTTTCCGGAGATGTCAATTTGGCTCCTGTCTTTTCCTCTGTCATCACTGATGGTGGCCTTATAAATTCCTGCTGTCTTCAGTGAAAACTGGAGAAGAAACAAAAAAGGGTACACATAAAGTCATGTAGGGGATATGGGGAACACAAATTTGTTGAATTCTGAATCTGAACACATTGTGAGGTCTTTTATTTTTGAACAAAGTGCCCTTGTTTTTGCAAGTTAAATGTAAATATATGCTGTTTTTCCACACTGTTTCTCTCTGCTTTTGCTGGGTGGCTTCTTACTAGTCCTGCAACGTTATCCCCACTACTTTCAGCCACCATATTTCTCACCTCAGCTGCCTGTTCCACCAATAGACACTGACCTCAGGTGGTGCATGCTGTGTACTACATCGCCGGAAAACTGCATCTCTGTATCAGTTTAATAGAAAGAGTGGCGTGTGTATTTTTGACGGTATGGAAAATCATACATTTGGGATTTATAAATAACCTGGAAAACTAATACCGTACCACCAAAGCTTGTTTGTACCCAATCAGCAAAACAAAAAATAGCATCCATTCCTTGACTTAGTGTAACTTATACATGCTACATCCTGGTATGTGCATGTACAGTACAGGCCAAAAGTTTGGACACACCTTCTCATTCAATGCGTTTTCTTTATTTTCATGACTATTTACATTGTAGATTCTCACTGAAGGCATCAAAACTATGAATGAACACATGTGGAGTTATGTACTTAACAAAAAAAGGTGAAATAACTGAAAACATGTTTTATATTCTAGTTTCTTCAAAATAGCCACCCTTTGCTCTGATTACTGCTTTGCACACTCTTGGCATTCTCTCCATGAGCTTCAAGAGGTAGTCACCTGAAATGGTTTTCCAACAGTCTTGAAGGAGTTCCCAGAGGTGTTTAGCACTTGTTGGCCCCTTTGCCTTCACTCTGCGGTCCAGCTCACCCCAAACCATCTCGATTGGGTTCAGGTCCGGTGACTGTGGAGGCCAGGTCATCTGCCGCAGCACTCCATCACTCTCCTTCTTGGTCAAATAGCCCTTACACAGCCTGGAGGTGTGTTTGGGGTCATTGTCCTGTTGAAAAATAAATGATTGTCCAACTAAACGCAAACCGGATGGGATGGCATGTCGCTGCAGGATGCTGTGGTAGCCATGCTGGTTCAGTGTGCCTTCAATTTTGAATAAATCCCCAACAGTGTCACCAGCAAAACACCCCCACACCATCACACCTCCTCCTCCATGCTTCACAGTGGGAACCAGGCATGTGGAATCCATCCGTTCACCTTTTCTGCGTCTCACAAAGACACGGCGGTTGGAACCAAAGATCTCAAATTTGGACTCATCAGACCAAAGCACAGATTTCCACTGGTCTAATGTCCATTCCTTGTGTTTCTTGGCCCAAACAAATCTCTTCTGCTTGTTGCCTCTCCTTAGCAGTAGTTTCCTAGCAGCTATTTGACCATGAAGGCCTGATTCGCGCAGTCTCCTCTTAACAGTTGTTCTAGAGATGGGTCTGCTGCTAGAACTCTGTGTGGCATTCATCTGGTCTCTGATCTGAGCTGCTGTTAACTTGCGATTTCTGAGGCTGGTGACTCGGATGAACTTATCCTCAGAAACAGAGGTGACTCTTGGTCTTCCTTTCCTGGGTCGGTCCTCATGTGTGCCAGTTTCGTTGTAGCGCTTGATGGTTTTTGCGACTCCACTTGGGGACACATTTAAAGTTTTTGCAATTTTCAGGACTGACTGACCTTCATTTCTTAAAGTAATGATGGCCACTCGTTTTTCTTTAGTTAGCTGATTGGTTCTTGCCATAATATGAATTTTAACAGTTGTCCAATAGGGCTGTCGGCTGTGTATTAACCTGACTTCTGCACAACACAACTGATGGTCTCAACCCCATTGATAAAGCAAGAAATTCCACTAATTAACCCTGATAAGGCACACCTGTGAAGTGGAAACCATTTCAGGTGACTACCTCTTGAAGCTCATGGAGAGAATGCCAAGAGTGTGCAAAGCAGTAATCAGAGCAAAGGGTGGCTATTTTGAAGAAACTAGAATATAAAACATGTTTTCAGTTATTTCACCTTTTTTTGTTAAGTACATAACTCCACATGTGTTCATTCATAGTTTTGATGCCTTCAGTGAGAATCTACAATGTAAATAGTCATGAAAATAAAGAAAACGCATTGAATGAGAAGGTGTGTCCAAACTTTTGGCCTGTACTGTATAACTATAGTATTGTAAACTGTTTCATAGCATTCATTAACAGTAAGAAAGTGAAGTTACCAGTTTAATTGGCAGTTTACAGACTCCTGATGCCAGGTCAGGCTTCACATCAGGGATGATCTCAGTGTCTTCTTTAAACCAGTGGAACACTGACTCCTTCTTCAAGTTAGCAACCTGCAATAAAGAAACATAATCACATTTTATTAAAACATAATTAGCATTAAAAAGGAGGAGGTTTTTGCTTCTTTTATAGCTTCTATATCATCAAATCCCAATGGCACCAATTAATGCTCAGATGGACCCAGCCCAAAAACTGCATTTTTGCACTTCCCCCATTAATCTGCCTCTAAGAGTCACTTATCAGTCCTGAGCTGATGTGGTACACCTCATCTTTTTATGGCAGCCCAGGCTATTTAACACTTGAAGTGTAAGAGGGCCATTAGAGATGTTCTGTGTGTATTTAAACTTTGGTTCTGCCTTATAGAAACCTGTTAGCAGTGCCATTAAAGCTGCGTACCTCAGACTATATATATTACAAGATGAAAATCAAACAAGTCAGTTCCTTCACTCCATGTCATGGATAAAAAACCCACTGTACCCCCTCAGAACTTTGACCTGTAGTCATGTTCAAAGAATATACATTACCCTAATTAATCACTGACACACATTTCTGCAAAATGGCTGATGCTTGATTAAAAAAAGTTTGTCTTCTGTGTATAGTCACAACATTCACTCCACTTAATTTACTGCATATGTCTGTCCTGTCTCTACATTATTTAAAATGCACTTGTTTGGGCTGGACCGACAAACAGATTAAACAGATGTCGGCTTCAGACTGTCTCGAGGGATATGAACAATACTTTCATTTCCAAATTGTCTTAATTATGTGCTTCATGCTAACAAAGCCAAAACAAATCAGACAGTGTAATTCTGGTCATTTTCAATCTGGACCTTATCATTACACAGCTTTTTCACATCCTGCACTCAGCCTCCGTAGAATGGCTAATGAGTCAGACTCCCATTTGTTTAGAGTGTAAATATTCAATAATTATTGAGTTTGGCTGTGTTTACCTTGCAGACCAAAGTGACAGAGCAGTCATCTCCGACCTGAAGTGAGAGAAACTCACTGAAGTGGGGACCTGAGTTGGATGAAGGCAGGAGAGAAAGGCTCAGAAGACGTGAGTTAAAAGCAAATGACTTGTAATTGATTGTATGAGCTCTGTTACCTGCATTATGTGTACGTATGATCTTAAAATTCTTTATGCAAAATACCACTATGGAATCTACACTCCCCCTATGGTAGCTGCTCTATAGATTTGTCAATTTGGGACTCGTGTTTTCATGTAGCGAGCCATTTCAAATGGGTTCATTTTAAGTTTGACGGTTTCATCTCCCTCTTTAAGTAATGCAGGTCTGTTTCTTTCTTTTATGCTCATTATTAGATTAATTGTCTCCCAGGCAACATGGTGGCAAGCTGGTCTCAGGCTAAGTAGAGTAGAAGCTCATACAAGCCTCTGAGTGGATGACGTTTTGTATTTCTTACCCTCCTTGACTCTGATGTACTCTCTCCTCTGGAAGTCAGCCTCAGCCAGCGCGGCCTTGAAAGCTGTGTGCACATACAAATTCACATAAACAGAGGATAATTAAAAGATCAAAGTGTTGCTGCCAGTAGTTGCTATAGATTCTGTCAGTGGATTAGCTAGCTAATGGTCCTCTGTATGAGAGTGGAATCACAATTTATGAAATCAGGCTGCTTTACTTGAATCGTTGAGCGTCCTTGATACATACAGTAGCAGCGTCAAAACCACCTTTACATTAATGAACTGAATAAATTTATATAATCTAGTCTCTTTTTTTTTTTACTGGAGATGCAGTTAGGTCAAGCACATATATACTTTATACGACATATGTCTCATATGGCTGTGTTCGTTCTGGCTGAGGCTTAGCAGCATATTCACTGTTATGTAAGGAGGAAAATAAGGATTTGAAAACGGCAACTTCTACATACTACAGCAGCTACAATGGATTTTTTTTTTTTGGGACACCCTCATACAATACTTCCCGCCTCCAGCAAAAACCCTTCGAGGCAGACATTACTGTCTTTAAGAGGCTGTGGCGCAGTCATTTTTTAATCTAGCATGACGGAAGTGGTATCTTATAAAACTAGACTCCTACGGCACCTATTGGTACCAGCTACTCTATGTTGGCATAGCTTTAGTGGCTAAATAATGCTCCAAAGTTAGGCTAAATTTTGTCAAAGTAACAACTGGCATGCCACCTTCCAAAGGGTCCCCTGAACTCTCACCTCAAGACATCTGAGTTCTGTGGTTACCCACGAGTCTCCCCTAAACATGACAGCCTATTTGAAGAACAATGAATCACCTAACATGTTTATATACAAAACACATTAAAACAAGATTGTTGTGGAGCTCATAATGTTAACTGTACCAGCATCAAAAATAGTTTTCAACGAGCCTATGTAATTAACAGCATCATGATTAAATTCCTGAAATTCAATCATGGCTTTTGGTTTTGGTGTGCCACCCAAAGATTTTCAGTGGCTGCATGTGGCCACCCATATAAGAATTTCTAGGGGCAGCACTGCCACTGATCACCATTGTTAAAGTGGTAAATGGTAGTCAGTTCTGGCAGGGTTGAACATGGTTTGACCAGTTTAGAAAGACAGTGGGGATGCTGGTAGTGAAAAATTAGAACTGGCGTCTCTTACCGTCTCCAATCAGAACCAATGAACTCTGTCCTTTGCCTCCTCCGTCTGTGATCTGGCAGGTATATGTCCCCTCATTTTCTGCAGTGAAATGGTCCATGATGAACTCAATGATACCTGTAGAGACGTCATGACCCATCTTGTTCGGCTGCAGAAAAATAGAGTTGGTTGTTGTGAAAAAGAGGCCATATTATACTTGAATATAGTCCTTGTGAATATGAATGTTTTTTTTTTACTGTAGCTTTAATGTTGCAACATGCAGCTGAATGAATCATGTTCAGTGTGCATCGAGGGAAGACAGACAATCCTTTCAGCTTGAGGCCAGTGGAAGAAGTATTTTTTTTCCATTTCTCAATACTATGTGTCCATGCCTTAAACTACAGCGTATCTTACATCAGCTCCAGACAGTTCCTTGTTGTTGGCAAAGAATTTGTAGGTGACATTGGAAGAAATCTCTTCAGCCTGCAGCCAGAACCTCATCCTGCCTCTCTCCAAAATCTTATAGGCCAACTCTGATTTGAGCGGGATGACTAGAGGAGAGAAGAGGATAAAGGAAGGCTATGGGTTCAAATACATTATTTCACATATGTGCTAATGACTTAACCAAACGGTCGTTACGTTATTAGTAACAGGAGAGGAGAGGAGGCTAAAGAACAGGTGAGGTGAATAGTGGTTAGACAGGTGATGCAAAGGCAGGTAAGACTTTTTGGATCAAATAAAAAACGAAATATGCTCCTAAAAGAAGAAAGAAATCTGAAAGGTTCAAAGCGATTCAGAACAAAGCAAAATGAAGGCGTGAAAGGGAGAAACTGATAAATAGAGAAAGTGGGTAAAAGAGATTAGGCGCAGCAGAGAAAAAATGTAAGAAGAGAGATTAAAAGGGACAAAGAGAGAGATTATGAGAGATCGAGAGAGTCAGCCAGAGGTACCTACTTGGATGTCTGATATCATAGCTCAGTGCCAGCATCTTTGCCAACTCTGAAACAGAGGGAGATGGCTTATTCATTTCATGCAACCATCTTACAGTTTGTTCATAGATGTCACTTTATCATAAACTCTGACAGGTGCTTCAGGTACTAAGTTTGGAGTTGGAGAAGTCAATACTACAATTGTGTCTGATAAACAGAGGCTGATAAATCTGCAAACACTTATAGCCCAAAGCAAATATAGCCAATGGAAAGATAATACATCATGGCTATCTTTATGGCTGGTGATCGGAGCCTTCTCAAGTACCTCTGATACCTTGTATACTAGGAATTTGGAAATTATTGTAGGTTAGGCTGAAAAAACTGTAGGACAAATGGAAAGCAATCAGTGTGAGGCTCACTGAATAATAATATTATAGCCCAGTAGCGTAGTGGTGCAATAGCAGGGAAAATATTGCAAAATTTTCTGACAGAAAGCCCTTTGCCACGAAGACGTGGTTTTAAAACACTCACACTGACTGCCTTAAGCTCGGAGACATTTTGTGAGCAGCATGCTCTGCTAGTATTCATCAGATGTGTAATGAAACTGTTTGTTGCCTACATGCCAGTTCGAACATTATTAAGCACTGTCTCATTACTTTCATCTTTATTTCATCCTACACATCGCCTCGGCTCTTCCATACATAGGGTACTTTTGATGTTGCAGTACATCTGTTCAGTGATCAAGGCATGACAGATAATCATATACAGATGAAGGAAGCAAATATTTAAAGCCATTTAATGTAATGCTGATGAGATGCTACAGATAAAAGCAACAACTCAAATTACAGCATATCAATAGGAATGAATAATCTGTCAGTCTAGGCTGTAAATAATTGAAACATATTCAATAGTTTTATTTGCAGAGAAATTTTTAGTTTATTGGACTTCTTTACATTTTAAAAGGCCAGCATCTGGCTGGATGGTTAAAGCCACACTGATACAGTGATTGGTGAATCCTACCTTCAGCAGTGATAGTGTAGCTGGATGACACTCCCTCTGTGTGGGTGACAGAAACAGAGTACGTCCCAAAGTCCTCTTTTTCTGCGCTCTTAAAGATCAATTTAGAACTACGGAGCAGGGCAGGATGGAGACAGAGACAGGCAGATGATACATTTTTTTACAGTATCCAAGTGTTAACTTGTGAACACAAATATTTGTGTGACTGTGTGTGTGTGTATGTGTGGGTGTGTCAGTAGTCTCACTGGCTGCCTTCAGTCTTAATCTCAATTCCTTTGGAGAAATCTGTAATTTCTTTGTAATCTTTCTTCCAGATGAACTGAGAGCCCTCGTGGAGTTGGCAGGACTCGAATGACAGAACAATGTCACCTGTTTTCTCATCCACAACGCAGGATACTTCCTGGGAGCCTTGAATACACAGAGACAAACACACAGGTGAGCTTTTTCTTTTTAAACTGCACCCATTTCAGTCTGCCAAAAAGGCACAGATGGAATTTTCCATAGATTTAGTATATTCAGGGTTCCTACACAGTACGGAAAAGTATGGAATTTGATTTAAGTAATATGCAGCTCTGGATTAGTATGGAAAAAAGAAATGACAGTGGAAAAATATTTTTGTTTCCAGACTATTGCCCCTGTCCTGTTTTGTTTTTTTTTTGTTTTTTTTTAAATAAATAAATAAAAATGAGTATTTCTTGAGTGTTTTTTTCCCCCTCCATGATGTTTGGAGCAGGCAACCAGTGCAGCCAAAATGTTTACCGCTGTGTGAGACAGTGCAGGCCATAGTGCACCTGATGCTGTCAAAAGCAAGGCAAGAGGTATGGCGCAGACTTCTGCACAGACCTGCTCTACACCTGTATATCACAGCCTGCAAAACAGCTCCGACCCAAGTGCCTCATATCTGAAGCAAATCCAGAAAACCACAACTAAATTAGTATGAAAGAAAATGTGTCTGTATCTTTGAATTGCACTGCATCTACAATAACCAAATATTAAGATTGCCTTAACATTTTGAGTTATGCAGTGATGTGGTTCTCAGAAAAGTTAAATGACTATCTATTCTATAGCTGTGTACATCATTGTTTCCATGGTCACAGTGGAAAAACAAGGCTGCACAAACAGTGTTTTTCAACTTATTTTAGCTATCTGTATCTAGATGTCAAATATGATCTGAAAATCTACAGAGAAGTCTGGAAATACAAGTGGTAATTTTGAAATGGAAAATGTGAAGGAACCCTGTTGATTTTAGTGGGTTCTTATATATTTATCTGCACCACCCCACACTTTCATTTTGCCTCCAGCACTTTAAAAAAAGAGCACATTATTCCCATGTAGCAAAGTTGTGTGTTTACTACTATATGTTGTGTCTTTTCAAAGATATGCCTTTTTCAGAAATTAAAAACACTAAAGACGACACAAATGTGTTAATGTCTGACTGTTTGTAAATAAATGTTACCTTCCAAAGTCCTGGCAGTCACAGGGTCAGACTGCCCTGAAGCCATGCCAACTCCTGCAGCGTTGACCCCACGCACCCTGAACACGTAGCTGGCTCCTGCCTCCAGACCTGTTACCTAGTAAACAGACAAGAAAACAGCCTTGTGTATTATTCATATATTTGGGCAAATTTGCCAGTTACATGTGACATTAACTTTGTATGTATGCATGTATTTCCTCAACATCAGAAACAGTTGCTGTTACAGATTTCTGACAATTTATTTGGCAGGTGAGATAGTGACAGGAGCAGTAATAAGTTAACCAACTTCTGCAACTCATGTTTCATGAGGTCACTAAATATTATTTGCTTTTAACAGCAATAAAATATATATAATGTTAATTTTGTTGACTGATTTGTCAGTGTCACATATGAGACAAGCCTCCTAATTGCTATTAATATTTTTATTCTAAAACCAAACACATCTACTTTTGTAGCTCAGCTCAGTCAGTAACTGTTCATTTCACCCACTAGATGTCAGTGTCACACAGTTTAATGTATCACTGTTGTGCAGTAAAGCGATCAAAACACTATATGCTGGTATAGAAGGCTCAAATGTAATTTATGAAGGTTTATAATATTATAGTGAACAGGAGCACAGAGCATAGTGCTGAGCATAAGCAACGTATACTGTAGCATAAGGAGCACGATATACAATAGCTGTAACTTGATTCAGCAGTGCTGACGATAAACACCAGCATCCATTTTCTCCACAGTAATATTTTACACAGTAAAGTTACACACTAAGTTAGATAAATTTGAATGCTGTCGGTTTTTCTGTGCTGATCCTAAAACTTTTTTTTTTTTTTTTACACTTTTTGACAAAGGTCCGATAAGGAAAACAGAAAAATAAGATTTTAAAAACTTGAGGCACAACTTAAAAAACTTAAAAGCATTTTTTTTTCCAGATGTCCATTAACAACTGAGAAGTTTGAACAAAAAAAAATGACATTTTTGTTTAAAAATCCCTCAAGGAATCTAAACTCTGTGATTATTAACGGATTATTATGCTCAAAGAAATAAAGAACCATAATAACCTTGTGGAAGCGGTGACTGACAGCTTTCTCGTTGGCTGTGGTCCACTCAGAAGTGCCCGTCTTAGCATACTCAACATGATAACCTGTGATTGGTCCAGAACCAACATAGATAGGCTTCTGCCACTCGACCACCACTGACTTATCCCTCACTTCACTGAAAGACAGGTCATAGGCAGGGCCTGAAGGACACACAGAATAAGAGGAGAAGAGACAGATATTTGTGGACATTTGAATGATTGCTTTAAACGTGTAGAGGTTCCATGTTTTTGACATTTACTAACCAGGTTCTGGCATAGTCCAGGCCTCACAGGTGAAGTCAGCTGAGTGTTTGGCAGCATGTCCCAGGCCAGCCAAGTTGGCTGCATACACCTGGAACTGATAGACTGCTCCCTCTGTCAAGCCGTCCACCTGTAAATAAAAGGTTACCATGGTTACTAACATGCCAGTCAGTTTGTTTGGATGTTTTAAGGTAGACGTCCAGTAACAACAGAAAACAGGTGAACTTAAGAACAGACATCAATGTACCTTGTAAAGTCTGTCAGAGATTGGTGGGATGTGAATCTCCCTCCACATGCTTGTTCCGCTGCGTCTTTTGTCCACATAATAGTCCTTGATTTTTGCTCCTCCAGAGTTAAGAGGCTTCTTCCAGTTCAGAACCATTGAATGACCGTCACAGTTAAGCAGTGCAATGTCGTAAGGAGCGGAGGGGGGGGCTGAAAAGGCAATACTGAATTTTAATACTTTTGATTACAATAATAATCATCACAATCATCACAATGATCAACACAGTCCAGCAGCAAGATATTACAAAGCAGATAATCATCACTGTCACCATTATCATCGACAATAATGATCAAAATATATGAATACTGACTGAGGGCAGCCTTAACAGTCAGAGGTGCAGACTCCTGGGATTCATCACTCAGACCAAGCTCATTGATCGCCTGGACACGGAACATGTAGGTTTCTCCTGTGGTCAGACCGCTAACCACAAACCTGCAGAGACAGAATCACATACATGAGCATAAGATAATCAACTATTATAGAAAGGCACGTTGTTTGGTTGAAAAACATACTTGGTGTGTCTATGAGGTTTGTGATTGGCTGAGGTCCAGTCCTTGGAGCCCTTCACACACTGGTCAATGTAGTAGCCAATCAGATTGTTGGGTTCCTTTGGAGCAGCCCACTGGATGAGGACAGAGGTGTCTGTTTCCCTGGTAGAAATCACCTGACCGGGAGCAGATGGCACACCTGACGACAAAACATAGCAAATGTAAAAAATTAACATGAATGATAAAAATGACAAGTGATAACAATGAACGCAACACCAGCTTAAAGGGTAACTTGGGTATTTTTTGGATCCTAATTCACCATGTTTTTTTGTCTAAGAGACTAATGAAGACAAGTATTTTTGAAACTAGTCCAATATTGACAGAGAGGGCTGCAGCCGGCAGCTGCACATCAGGCTGCAATGTAATTATCCACTTGGGGTATGTGTGTTCCATTAATTTAAGTCCATCAAAAGTGCTTGTTTTTGCCACTAACGAGCTCAGATTGTTATTTTCAGTGTCTGACAACATTATCGAAAAGATCCCAGAAATAGACCTTGTTGTTTAAGAGTAAAAATCATTTTTGTTAAACCTGAGACAGACCAGATATCACTATGGCTAAACATACCAGACTTCATTTAAATAAACAGTTATTTTATAATTGTAAAACACACTTCGTTCAAAGTGGACAGAAACAAAATAAAACTCAAAAAAACCTTTTTGGTTTTTCCTTTCACTACTCCAAAAATCACTAGCTCTGGTTTAGTTAAAATAAACCCTTAATTAACCTAGTGATATGTGAAAGCATCCTGGGTCTATACATGCTAAAATTACTGTTAATTAAAATGGAGTCTGGTGGTTTTGGTGATAGCACTGGGGCTTTTTTTGGTTTAACAAAAAGGATCTTATTCTTTAACAAAAAGGTCCGTCGCTGTAGAGATTGCTTCCAAAATGTTGTCTGACAATTGGAATAATAATCTGACACTTTTAGTGGATGTAAACAGACGGTGTGCACATACCCCACATGGATGCACTGCCGCCTGTTTTGCCAGTGCTTGCTGCAGCACCCTAGCTCAATACTGGACCAGTTTAAAAAAAATTGTCTCCATTTGTTCCCAGAAAAACATGGGAAAATTGGGTCCAGGTTGAAAAATACTAGAGTTACCCTTCAAAATGTGGATAAATTCCACTGAAGACATCAACAACAGACCTTTGAGCTGCAGAGTCTCAATAAGTGCAGATGGCTCCGATGGCTCACTGTTTCCATAGATATTGGCAGACAAAACTCTGAACTGGTATTGTTTGCCCTCTGCTAGGTCAAAGACGGCGTAACGGGGAGATCGAATAGGAACCTGGGTGTTAACACGCTGCCACGCACCACCTTCTGCCATGCACTGTGGGGAGACAGAGACATCAGAAAACTGCTATTTCATCACACGAAAAATCATATATTCTAGAGAAGTGAAGAACAGTAGTGTACAAATGGATGTATAAAGAGAACTGGTACAGCACTGGGGGCCCCATTCATGCCTGTGAAAGTTGCTCAGTGGTGCGCAAAGCCAAAATAGTTTGACTTCAGTATAAAATTACCCAGGTTGTCTACATTGTTGGACCCATAGAGCAAATGCACTCTGGACTTAGCTGACCAAGTGGCTAACTTCCAGTTTAGTGCTCCACTAACTTGAATGGGGATGAAATTATTTAATTGTGCAGGTCTTTTAGACTTTCCAAATTTTAGCAGACCAAATGGATTAAATCCTGATAGTGAAATGAGTCATTTCATGAGTGTTGTGATGCCGTAAGAAATGTATCAAACGATTTAGAGACATCTTTCTCACAATGTAAGTCTCTGGGAAAAAGTCTTATTGAGCCCTTTGGCATCACATGACAGACCTGGAAGTTGTAATTCTACTGTCTGGCCGTGATGTCAAATTAGCTTCAAAGCCTGGTGCTGCTCCTGGGAGTTTGAATGTACACTGGTAAGTACAGCATTAGTTGTATGGCCACAAGTGTAGTTTGCCAGATGTCAGTATATTGGCTTTATTAACTTTGAATCAGTCAGTTATGGGCTTCTTTCTTTTTGACACCCAAAACGTCGAGTTTAACACAAAAGTCAGCTTTAAAAACAAAATTAATATTGTTGGACCAAATCTAGCAGGGTACAGAAAAATACTCGGTCATCCACACATTTAACACACTTGCTGTATTTACATCACTCTAATGTGCCTCTGAATAAGTAATCCTAGACTTTAAGGAAGAGAGAGGAGTATCATAAATTTGCACACACAACCTCAGCATACAGTACAGGCCAAAAGTTTGGACACACCTTCTCATTCAATGCGTTTTCTTTATTTTCATGACTATTTACATTGTAGATTCTCACTGAAGGCATCAAAACTATGAATGAACACATGTGGAGTTATGTACTTAACAAAAAAAGGTGAAATAACTGAAAACATGTTTTATATTCTAGTTTCTTCAAAATAGCCACCCTTTGCTCTGATTACTGCTTTGCACACTCTTGGCATTCTCTCGATGAGCTTCAAGCTCCAAGTTGTATATACAGTGTAGTATTCAATGCAGCGTTGGTGACAATATAAGGGAAAAGTTTGTTACCTTTTCTATGTAGTACCACATGGGAGCCTTGCTGGAATAAGCAGGACCTTTCCAGCTCAGAACAACATATGTCCTGTCTATTTCTGAGACAGATATTCCTGATGGAGCACCTGGAGGCTTTCCCTCAGCTACACAGAAACACACACAAATGATTAAGTACATGTACACACTTGCACCATGAGACACACACACCGTTTTCCTCCTATTTTGTATACAAATGTACTAGAGGGATTTTATAGGTATTATACAGTAATATATAGATATGTGTTAATTTTATTAAAAACTCACCTTCAACTTCATCATGGTAAGACACAACATCTAGTTTTCCTCCAAGTTTTTTGGCTACAGGAAGATAAAAAAACAATTTTCACCAATCTGCTGTATGTTCATGTAGAAGTTATAGAAATTCATTCAATGTTCATTTGGTAAAATAATTTGTTTTGCTCTGTGGTTCTTAAAATTGATCAAATCAAGATTGCTGGGATGAAAATATCTCTGTTCTTCACATTATAGAATCAAAGTATGTGAGTTTTTGATCAATGATGACAAAAGGACCTGTAAATTTTAAGATTGCGCTAGAAAAGGAACATCATTCAAGCATGAACCAAACTTTGTGCAATGTCAAACAAAGCAGTTTGGTCGACCATGTCAATAGAACAGACAAAGAGAAAAGTTACATTCCTTAACTGAAATAAAACAGTGTAGTAAAATGTAATCTACATTAAACCATAATTGTAGGCCTTTTATAATTCAGTGATGCTGAGCAGTAACCGCACCTAAACCACATCTCATTAACATATTAGCAGCAACATAACTTGTATTCATCTACAGTGAGTTGACATAATAAACTGTGAACCTGCTCAGAGATTTAAGTACTGTACATAAAAAAGTGAGCATGTGGCACGTAGAGCTGCACAATTAGATGATTGAAAAAAACATGTAATCACCTCCTGTTGATAATTGATCGTTTCAGTTATTTTTCAAGTAAAATGTCAAACATTTGCTGGTTACAGTTTCTTAAATGTGAGAGTCTTTGAGTTTTGGACTTCTAGTTGGACAAATGAAGCAATTTGAAGACATCACTTTGAGGGCATTTTTGTGTCCACTCAGTGAAAGAAAGTAAAACAGACATATAATGATATGCTAGTGTAAGAAATCATGACTATAGACTCCATCCAAACATACCAAAACAGCAGAGACACTTGGCATGTCAGTGACTACAGGACACATTTCTTCAAGTCTTCAAATGATGTAATATAAAAGGCAGGGGTGACATTTCTCTACACTAATCCAGTTAAACCCACCATGGAGCCTCTCAAACTCAGTGGGGTCCAGTGCAGCGATAGGATCAGACATGCGGGATGGTTTGCTGATGCCATGCGAGTTGACTGCTCTGACTCTGAAGTAGTAGGAGTGTGCCTCAAACAGCCCAGACACTGGGTATTTACAAATCTTTATGGGGTGATCATTGCATTGAGTCCAGTTTTCAGTTCCAACCTCACACCTACAAACAAAGATCAAAAGAGACGGGGAGAGGAGAAAAGGAGTTAAACATTTTCAGAGTAGAGCTTGGAGAAGCACAGTAATGTAATAGGGTTCCTACAGTTTAAGGCAAGTTAAATTAAAAACTTTTTAAGACTTTTTTATGCCACTCAGAATAAAATTTAAGACCACTTTCACAATACGAAAAATGTAAGAAAAAAAACAAAAACATGATCCCACATCAATTGGGGTTAGGGGTAATTTTAGCCAAATATTTGTTATAACTTAAAACATGACTTGGCAATTTTGTGTTTCTTACTCTGAATGTGGGATTCCAGTGCCTTGATTTCTGTCAAGTTGAAAAAAACTTTAAAATACACCGAGCCTTGTAACAGTTTCAGCCATGCTGCAAAATCTCGGTTATATAGACAGTTTTAAGTAAATTTGCACTTCCCCAAATTGACCAGATATCTATGGATCATATGCTCTGAGCATCCAGGCCAGAAACAAAATGAGTGCTGTTGGTTCCACAATTCTGATTTACATGACGTTAATGCAATAGACAATTGTTAAATTATTAAATAAAAATAGATGTTACAAATGATTCGATGATAATGATGATGTTACTGAGATTTTACAATGCAGAAAAAAAAAATCAAATCTTTCTTCCCATGTCTCTTTCCATGTCTTTTAAGACTTTTGAAATATTGATTTAAGACATTTCAATACCAATTGGGGCCTTATTTTTAGATTAATGAATTCAAAGTCTTTTAAGACTTTTAACGATCTACAGGAACCGTGAGTAGAGTAGTTAAGTGTAGAGGAAAAAGGAAGGATTCCCTGTACTATACCTAAAGACAATAAACCCCTTCATTTGTGTGATGACTTACAGTAATCAGTCTTTATGTTGGTCAGTTTATGTATTTATGGTGATTATTATCAGAAACTCCTACTTGTCCACAAAGTATCCCAGGATTGGTCCCTCTGTGGTGGTATTTGGGGGTTTCCATGACACGATGACATAGTCTCTATTGGCATCGTGGATCTTGATGTCCATAGGAGCACCAGGTGCATTAGGGACTGGGGGAGGACCATCTACACAGGAAGTGACACAGAGGTATTTTAATAATCATATCATCAGTAAAGCCGCGTTTCCACCAAACACTTACACATACAGTGCCCTTAGAAACTTACGTAACCTGTACAGACATGTACTGTACCTAAACTGTAGATCTGTTCAATGTCCACCACAGACTGAACTCTTTTTATGTAGGTGGGTTTTGTTAAAAGAAGATAATCCAGCTCTCACTGTATTTCTTCTTCACCATCGATGCAGAGGGACATCTACAACTCACTGACTGTCCACAGAACAGGGTTGTGCAGCAATTTCAGAGCATAAAAAAACAGGCTAGAGTGTTTAGCAGGGATTTAGTGCCGCCAGAGCGCACAGAAATAATGCTCCAACATTTGTTTTTCTCCAAGTGAGGAAATTGAATATTCACAGTTCAGATACATTTTTTAAGTGCCTGAAGATCCAGTCATCACTGAAGTGTGTTTCATGCAGCGAATAAAAACAAACAGAATGGTCAGAGTTATCATAGTAACACTGAAGTTGTGTTGATTGATTCACAACATCAACGTATGCATTGGGTAGTATGCAAGAAAAATGTCTACCTTAAAAGTTGCTGGTAGCTGTGGGCCATAGCCTTTGAGGCATACAGAAAATTAAATTATATTTCCTTTTATTACTGGGTCAGTGTGCTCGATAACTCAACATGAAAAACAGGATGGAGTGGTTCTATTTGCAACATCCACAACTTTTGACAATGGAAAAATAATCGGTCTAATGTGTAACAAACTGAACTGGACTGCTTGATGGAAACAAGACTTAAGTAATACAATATAAAACAGTATATTAACAGAGCTCTGTACAATTTGTTGCATCCTGGTAACAGCAAATCAATAACAATAAAATAAAAACCCAATATGATTCTCCGTTACCTGCGACAGAGACAAATGCACTGTGCTCTGCGCTGCCTCCCTTAGTCACCATGCGCAGCGTGTAGAGGCCTTCATCATCTTTGTACAGGTGTGGAATAGTCAAGGTGCTGACTCCTCTGCCAGTGGTAATATTCACCCATTTCGAATCAAACAGACGCTCGTCTGGAAATGAGACAGGATCATCAATTCGGTGTACCTTCCTGCATAATTCTGAGAAAACCCCATTCTTAATTGATGTCACAATTTGTCTCTATAGATTATACATGAGGTTTGACTAATTCTGAATGTAAAAGTTGAAACTATTACAATTTGCTTTTATCCCACATGGTACCTTTTTATGTAATTTCTACGGACACAAACAGCAAATTAAACTACTCATGAACTGGGGGTATATCGCTGGAGTCTATTTAACTTCTTCCACTATAATTAATAAGCAATGAAAAGAGTGTCTGTAACATATTCCCATTTTTCCACTGCTGTGCCTCTGGCTGCATGTCGACTAGATTGGGTCTGCTAGTCGCTGTGGCAGGCAGTATATATTACCAGCAATTAAAGTGTAATTACTTAGTCATAAAATGCTCCTTTATAACCATTACCATCTCTGTACCACTGTGCCTCAGGCTGCAGGTTGGCCAGGTTGGGACTCAGGGTCATGGTAGCAGTCAGCGTGGCAGATCCTCCCTCAGAGGCAAACACTGGGCCAAACTTATCCAGAAAGGTAATGTGGATTTTAGTGTAATGGATCTGGGGAAGCATGGCGGCTGAGAGATCACAGGGAAAGGAAGAAACAGAGAATGAGTGAGAGAAGGGACCAGGGCTGGTGGCAACATCTTGAGACACATTTTATAGTCGAGGTACTGAGCTCGTAATTTCTGGACACATTTAGAGCTGGAGGTAAATATGATGCTTACGTAAGAAAGGCAGCCATGCATATGAACAGGACTCCTCTTCCTGCTTGAACCCTAAGTGATTAAAAAAACAATAATTCATCATTAGCAGCAGACAGTGGTAATAATAACGATTAAGGAACTGGTGAACAGGCAGACAGATGGTAATCATAGACTATAAAAATACAGACGTAGCCATCATGATGTCACACATTTGTTTTCTGGACTCCCATTTTGAAGCCTAGATTTTAGCATTTTGGCCGTGGCTATCTTGGATTTTCAGAGCCACAAGTGACCCAGGATGACTATTTTTGGTTGAAGGTGTGGAGCTACTAAACGCTACTAAATAAAGGCTGGGACACAGCATCACATCGTGTCATATCATTGGAGTACAACACATGCACAGTACAATCTGTTCTGCACTTGCTGAAAGGCTCTATAGCTGGTGCACTGTCACAGAACATGTGGGTGAACAATTAGTTTCACTAAGGCTTTTGTGGTTGGCTATGGGTCGGAATATATTTCCCTATGAAAAATAAAGACATGGGTAAAAATGACAATTCTGCAATTATTGAAAATATTTTTAATAAATGACCATAAACAAATGCTTTCTACTTGAAAACTTTGTTGTATTTAGGCCGCCATCCATTTGTTAATGTATACAATGAATATTCAATAAAGTTTGATGGCCACATGCAGGAATGACTTCCTGTAGCATTCTGTAGTGCATCTCGGAGAAATGAGTCTTGCACTGAATGTACTTCTGTGTTTGATCAGCACGTCATGGAGTGAGTGGGAGACATTTTCCAGGATAACATGTAATAAAGCACAGCTTCAGCTCTGTAAGAGTTGGTCCCACAACTCTTCATCAAGTTTATCATTGTGTCCAAACTACAGCATCAGATAAAAGGTAGTCACATAGAAGAACTTACTCTTGACAATGACGGTGGCCTGACTCGAAGCCTGTCCATGGGAGTTAGAAGCCACAACAGTGTACTGGGCGGTGTCATCAGTGGTGCATCTATAAGTACACAATAAAACACAAGTTTCCAGGTCAGAATACCTATCGAGACTCTCTTAAGAATCATACAGTATTTTGATTAAAAGATTTCTTAAAGCGTGTAAATGACAACATGAGTCAGGGTCAAGGTTCTTAGTCACCTCATATTAAGCCCTGGATGTTTATGTGAGTCTTAAGTAATGTGTACAGTCATCTGCAAAAACAAACTAAATGCCTACATACCAGATGTACTGTACACACAAGGACCTGCTCCAACAGGAATAACTGTAAACCACTGAAGGAGTGCCAGTAGGGATTTGCTTTTACAATGTGTATGAAACTAATGCACCAAATGAGCAATAATTTCCCACATGATTGCATTATGTTGCCGGGGATAATCAGCAGCTGAGTGGGCAGAGTCAAGATTGAGTAAATCCCTGTTCGCATATACAGAAGAATCTACAGCACTGCCAGGTTGGATAGATGCTTGGACGAGACTTGGCAATAGAGGTATGACACGAGATGGTGCCACTAAGCTGTAATATGGTCTTTTCTTGGTAAAAAGATGACAGTGGTTTTCAGTCACATTTTCAGAAATGCTTATTTTACAAGCTGCAAAATGCAAGCTGTGGTCAAGTTATAAGATGTTGTACAACGCTTTCTGTGTCTCTTACACAAGTAAATTAAGTAAGTCAAGTTTATTTAGTATAGCACTTTTCATAGAGCAAAAGCACAAAGCGCTTCACAGGAGTGAAATTGTTTAAAAAGGGCCAAAAACAGTAAAAAGAAACAAACAGTAACACATACGCAACAACAGACCTTAAAAGCAAATACAATTACAGACACCAGACAGCTTGAGGTGAAGCAAAGGCCAGTTTCAATAAGTGAGTCTTCAGCTGCTTTTTAAAAGCATCAACAGAGACTGCAGATCGTACATCTAAAGGAAAAGCGTTTCAGTGTCAGAGCCACCACTTTAAAGGCACAAACAACTTTGTTTTAAGTTGAGGGAAAACCACTAGGGGTGCTTTCAGACCTAGAGTTGTCTTGCTTTGGTCTGAATCAGGGACTAATTTTGTAATTAAGTTGCATAATTGCCTAGAGTTGGTTCTTGTTCTCACGGCAGCATTTACAAGCGGCCCAGCTGTTTTGGTGTGCACCCCAACTGTCCAAATGAACCGCACTTAGGGAGCAAACGAACTTGAGTTCGATTGAAAAGAACCAAAGCACTAAGTGTGAAAGCACCCTAAGTCCTAGTCAGAAGACCTAAATGACCAACTGGTGATGTAAGAATGGAACAGGTAAGATATGTGGACAGGTACCTGACTATGCAGGGCTCCATATGTGAAAACAAGAACTTTAAAACAAATCCTAAACTTGATGAAAGCCAATGTAAAGAAGATGTATGCATGATTTAAAGGAAGCATGCAATTGATATTCTCTAATGTTGCTGCTTTTGTTCCCTCTAAAGCCATATGGCCACTGATGTTAGACAGTGTTAACAAGCCCCAAGCAAACTGCACAATCTTCTAGAAAACTGTATTTACAGGCTAAGGTGCACGCTGGGGAGATGTAGTGAGAAAGAGGCACATGAGAGCTGCTACAGGGGTCAAAGCCTCACTGTCAATGCATCTCATGTATTCATGACAAGAAGACCGACCTCAACCTTGGAGGTGAATCTCTTGTTTCATTCTCAATTTTATACTTTACTCTCCTGATCTTTCTGCCCCCTCTCTGTATCTCTGTCTCTTCCTGGTGCTCTTCTCACCAACCTTTCCACAACCTCTTATTACAGCAGTATCAGCTAACTTGGGAATTTCAACCCACGCAGAATGCACAGGCTGATGTAGTTATAAGTAGATGACTCTGACAAAACTGGAGGAAGTGACTACTGCGAGTTGCAGTGGGGAGCTGAGAGAGAGCAGCAGATGTATTCTAATTTTGATTCATAGTAGCATTCAGTAAATCCTTCAAATGCACAGAAATGTAACCCTGTGTGTGTGTGTGTGTGTGTGTGTGTGTGTGTGTAGGGGGTGGTTGGAGGGGGTTTGCAGGAATGCCAAAGATTCAGGGCTGAGAAGTTGGGGGGTAGGAATTCTGCATTTTCTGTCTGTCATGAGCCAGGCTTAAAGTTACGACAAGCTGCTGGTACTGTAATTTGTAATTCAAAAGAGATTTATCCACTAAGGTCTTCCAGCCTATTTCTAATTTGTTTTTCACTTAAAACACACATCCTTCAGTGTTAGTGGTTATCTTTCAAATAGTCTTGTGCGCTTTATACAACTTAGGAGGGAGTAGTTTTCTACAGGGAGTAATTGCTGTTGGCTGAACTGTGTGCGAGTATCAGACAGAAGGAGCCAAAGGTGACTGGATCCACGGAGGGTGATGACTAAAAGAATCCTGGAGGATCACGTAGCACCGAGGTCAGCATTCGGAACAGCTGAGCTTCCTAAGACTGGAGGGAGAGCAGTCAGTCAGCTGACTCTGACGTTATTACTTTAATTTGAATTTGTGTAGTGACCCTTATGGGACTGACCAGAAAGGCATTCTGATGATTCAATACGCAGTGTTAGGATAGGTGATAAGCCAGTCAGGGGCCCAAGTGGAATTACACCCAGTAAATGGACATGATTAGTGAAAGACAGCCATTTGGATTTCTCATTGTACACAAACAGTTTCTCACAAATATGAATTGTATCCTATATTATATGTATTTTCTAAACATTTGGTAAACCTCAATTTGAACTGCTGAGGCACTTGCATTGTTTACATCAGATTTTAGTCCTCTTATTATAAATTCTGTTGGAGCATTGCTGCATTTTAAGGTTCTGTATGCGACATTCAGTGAATTAATATAGCAGCAAACCACTTTTTGCTATGTAAAGATATAGTATTGGTGTCCTGAGCACAGAATGAAGTCACGCTACCTCTGTATGTTTTGTAATTCGAGCTTCTGTCTGGGTTGTTGTGGTAGATGTGTCGGCCTCATGTGCATGTTAGTGTATGTGAGTCCCTGTGAGTTTGTCCCACTGGCTAGCTAATTGCTGTCGCTCTGCACTGTGCTTGTACAGCGTTTAAGGCTGATATCAGGACGGCATCATTATGGAAGCATAGCGCCCATCCTTCAGTTTTCCCTGCAGGTAACAATAAGCCCGTTTTAGTTGAACTGCACCTCACCTGGAATGTAGATGAGATCAGGTGGCGATAAATAAAAGCTGCTGTCAAGTCAGAGTTTCCAACGACCTTCTACAGGAAGATCCATTTGTAGTTTGCAGACCATGTTCTAACCTCTAGTTTTATTATCAACCAAACAAGATTTTTTTGTCAACTGATTAAACCTTCATTGCACAACTTTAGACTAACAGCCTACAATCGAGCTTTAAATATTACAATTACACACAAAAATTGGATTTTCTGGTCAAAACTGAGAGTCAATCAGCTCTTTTTGGTGTTTCCCATCATGCCCTCAGCCTTACAGTCAATGGAGAGGTACTGCAGCACCTGGTTCAAAAACTACAGCCGCCTAGCTCTAGTTATCGTTGTCCTCATGTGCATGACATTGGAGCAATTCAGGATCAAGTCGGACACAAATCTAATCAGCATGGATTGTGTGATGACTGTTGGTGGTCAACTCTGCGCAGGCCTGGCTCACCTCGAATAAGCCTAATGTAAGACAATCATTAGCAGTGTTTATCAAGTTAGCACCATTCACAGCATCAGCCACCGCCATGTTGTGACCCATGTGCAGACTCTGAATCATAGATATTCTCTGAATGTCTCATACAGCTCCATTAATAGTGCACTGTACTGCCACAAACCATGACAACTCTCTGCTGTGACACAAATGTGTCTCATTTTTCATGTGAGCCTCTGCATGCTTCGTAGAAAATAAGGTGCTATGGGTCACTTCAGTGTTTTAAGAGCGCACATATACATAATGTCAGGGGGCTTGTGAGAGTCATATCCAAAAAAAAAAAAAAAAAGAGGCAGAGGCTGAAATACCTTAATGTTTAACCTCTACTGTGGGTTAACCTTCAAAAATTATACATCCAACATACACATAATGCAACTCAATAGCATATTTCATTTCAAAATCCGTATCTGCAGTTTATGAGGCAGGTCTCCTCCAAAGAAGTAAGTGAACTGACCTCCATGAATAAAACTGGTGGAGTGCCCCTCTCTTATGAAAGCCTGCTTATCAAGAAGTCCACAGGGGACTTGTTAAATAATTCTGTGTTTTTTGACTCACTGTACCTTGGGATCTCAAGAGTGTGCATTCCACCTTTAGCTTTAACCAGGTACTGTCCAGAGGACATGCCCAGGATCGTACCATCTTTATACCTGAAACAGAGGAAGATTACAGCTCACCAGCATCAAGACAAGTGGACATAACAGACATTTCTAACTTTGTTAACATCACTACTAAGATCTACTATCAGATTGCTATCAAATCTAAATGAAGAGAGGAAAGAGCGGTGATAGGCCAACATATCCTCATGAAATAGTGTTGAGTCTCATACTGTTGAGTAACTGTAAAAAATAAAGTCTGCCTTTAAATGGTGCATTTTGTCAGTTTAGTACTACATAACCGGGTTAAAAGAAAAACATGTCTTTAGTTCTTACTCACCAAGTTACAGAGGGCATGGGGTAGCCCTCAACGGTACAGAAGAGCTGGATTGGGGTGTTCTCAAACACGGTGTGAGATCTGAGTCTGACCAGGAACTTTGGTCCCCTGATCATAGGCTCCTCATGCACATATTTGTCCAGCCTCTTTGTCTTTACCTAAACAGGTAAACAAAAATACCAATACTAAACAAACAATACTAACATATAAACAATAAACACCATAGATAAACATTTTTAAAACAGTGTGATTCAACTACTATTGTCTGTCATTGAAAAGTTCAGAGATTCTTACCATTTCCTGGACATGAACCTTGGTTTTGTACTCATAGCTTTCCTCCATCGCCTCAGAACTAAAGACAAACAGTGAGTCAGTTTTCACACAGATTCAGGAGAACAATGTTTTCCTTGTACACGAGCTGAGAATTGAACAAATTCTCTGTACATGAAGATTTCACATTAGACTCATGTAAGGGTGCATCTGTGCCCAAATAACATTTACAGCAAGTATCACTGGTTTCAATACAATAACTACAGTATGTGTATGGAAAAAATGCCTTTGCTGTTGAAGGTTAATTGGGGCGTGTTGAGTATTTAGGTATTCAGGTGCCTACCAGCCCAAAAAAACAAGCTTCCAAAGAAGCTTCAGTGCTGTGTGTTAGTTTGTTTTGATATGTGGAGAAGGCTGTATGCAGTCTGTGGCCAGTGATTAACAGAACTTATAATCTGATTCCACATTTGTAAATAAAGAAAGGAAGTTATCCATTATAATCAAAGGTCTATGAGCGAAGATGGAGGCCTCTAGCAGACTCTTCAGGCCAGCTGACTTCTCTCCTCTGAGGAGCGCACTGAAATTTGAAATTACCAGTAAAGTCACTCAGTACTGATCCAACAATCCTACCTATTACTTGCTGGGACATGGGCTGCTGTGCCTGTTTTTACTTTATTTGGATTATAAACTAAATTTAATTTTCACACAGGATATTTTTCTGACAGGCTTAAGGCATTGAAGTCTCATGCAACATGCCCGTTGCCTGAGAGCTGGAGATTGTCAGCGGGAGAGACACAGTCAGTAGTGTCAAGCCTTGTGTCCATGTCTTGCGTCACTGTTGTCCATAAAGTCTCCAGGCATGATGTCATTCCACTACTGTCACCACAAAATGGCGGGGAGTGCCCAGCAAAGCAGTTGGTGTGGGAACCTCTGTGATGAGGCCAAGGCTGAAGGACCACGTTGCAGATTACGAGAGCAAGATGACCAAAAGTCATGTCTTGTGATGCATGTGGGGTATGACGAGCATTTACTGTGAGATTTGTGGTGGTATCCAAATTTCAGTGTGCTGCTCTGTAGAGGAGAGTTGCGGGGAAAAAAAAAGAACTTCACGTTTTTTCACCTCAACCTCTAAAAGATATCATCTATCTATCTCTTTTGGTTCTTTAAATGTGCATGAAATTGTTGTCTGTTATGATCATAATGAGCACGAAATAGTAAACTTATATTTGACCAGCAAATCAGTCAATCAGTGCTTAGAGCACATTACACATACAAGCTTTATACTTACTTGAGTTTAAAATAAAAGGATTAGGAAATCAGTCAGGGAAGTGAGCTCTACATGAGCAGAATCACTACCTCTACATGAGGAAAAGAATCCAACACTTGTCAGTGCACACTCCGTCAAACTTAGTGAGCAGACCTCATTTAAAGGAGCAGGGTGTAAGATTTAGTGGCATCTTGTGTTGAGGCTGCAGATTGCAACCAGCTCAATATCCTTCCCCTAACTACTCCCTCTCCAAGCGTGTAAAAAACCTACGGTGGCCTTCTGGTAATGTAAAACTGTGAAAGGCCCCCTCTAGAGCCAGTGTTTGTCTGTTCTGGGCTACTGTATATAAACATGGCGGTGCAAAATGGCATGCTCCCTAGAAGAGGCGCTACTACTTACGTAGACATAAATGGCTCAATCTGAGATAACAAAATCACAAGGATTGTTAGATTCAGTTGATCATACACTGATGAAAACATACCTTTGGAATAGATTCCCCTGAATCCTACACACTGCTCCTTTAACAAAGGTCAGACTTGTGCCCATTAGCTGCTTATTAGCAAAGATTAAAAAAGAAGCAGTAAGAGGTGAGCAGCAGAAAAAATAAGAATTTAAAATGGTAAATAAAAACATGAAACACAGCACACACAAACAAACACACTTTCTACATAGCTACAAATCACAGCAATGTGACAGAAAATCTATAAGCAAAAGATTATTTCCCCGTGATGTTGGACTATCTTGAATTGACATCAGTCAGTTTGCTACAGGGGAAATTAAGGATGTGTTTTTGTTGTCGTTTTACTCGATCTTGATTCAATCAAAATTTAACATTTCACATAATACAGCTTCCCAAAGAGGTCTATGTTAAAATTAGTATAGCTAAGTTAAACTATATATCTAACAAATCAGTCTGCATCGACAACTTCCCGTGGTGGTTCGGATCATAGCTTTAGAAAAAGCATCAGTATAAGACTTTTGCTGCTTTAAAGTTTGGAAAGCCACTCTGAAACATGAGAAAAACACTAAAATTACATTTATCTCAACATAGCCATTAATGATCAATTTTAAAAAAAAAGCTTTGATAAGCCCTCATATCCCTTTAGAAATAAATTTGGGACATCAGCTGTGAAAACCATTTTTTAAGTTAAGCTTGGCCAGCTCAGGGTTAATTTGCTCTTGATGTTAGCAGCTTACTGTTAACCAGGTTAGCTTTACTGTTTTAACCTAGTCAAAGCTTATTACTGTTACAATACTACTGTTAGTTTAATGTTTTAGTTGTAATTAGCCTTAGAGTATACCTGCTGTACTCTTTAACCACATATTTCCTCTGTTTGTGTTGGTATTCATGGTTGTACGACCCACGTTTGATCAACGCTGACATGGTGACACTGTAGGTACTGACCTGTTGGACCAGTAACACACACACACATACTGACATGGTAACAAAGTACAGTAGACCCCACTTACAAGTCAGACCAGAGACACATTTACGCCCACAGACACAAACATGAGACTACCAACTCTGAAGGACTGTCGACGTGACTTCAGGAATTAGACACGGTCATGAAGGCAAATGTGAGGAAGAAGAGATGATTAACTTGGAGTGATTGGAGCTTTTAGATACAACGCCCTACATTTCTCACTATTAATGACTTAGTGCTTTGCAACAGTACGTGTAGTGTAAAATATGGAGACAATATATCTGTGTTTACTGCCTCGACCACTGCTAAAAGAAAAGCCCTCCTGGAATTTGGACACGAGGAGTCGGAAACACTGTCACACACAAACACAGCGGTCCTACTGTCAGCTTCAGGAATGACAAGGTGACACCATATTAACTTAACGACACCAGACACACAGACACACGTGTATATACATAAACAAAAGGCATGGATATAGACTATTGTTGGACCAGTAATATAACAACCACTGACAGTACAGCTGCACTAAAGCCCATCCATCAATTTGACAGCTCCAAATTCTGCAAGAGCAGTTGTATATTTATTGGTTTTACATACAGTGGGGGACTGTGAATACTGTTGTTTTCCACTTTAAAAAGACACCGTTGCTGTAATTTAATATTATGAAGTAAATATTGATTGCACAATGTATGGCTATAAAGTAATGACATCAGCTGCATTTAGACTGGTTCTGTATGGGCCTCGCTTTCACTTTGCAATTCTGTCTGCCACTGTGTACAATCTCTGGAGAAAATTAAGGCTTGATTTATGGCACAAAGGAAATACGTCAACTACTGCGCTACTAAAACAGGAAAACGGATAGCGCCTTTGTTTTTCCTGGTAGCTATCCCCAGTTGCCAAAGAGTATAAAAGTAAGTTAGCTGTAGTTACTATCCCCAATAACAGAATTGGCAGTCAGAGGAACAACCAAAGTAATGTGAAAACAAATGCAATGTGTCCGGTGTTGACTCTGAGGAAAACTGAATCTGGTTGTCTTTGTGTCAGCAGCTTCAACAATAAAACCACTTAAAAAATGCTTCAGGTGAAAGTTGAAAAGTTGTTGGTTTCCACTTTAAAGACAAGTGAATGTAACTAAATTAAACACGAACAGTTATTTAGTGTGGGGTTTGTAAAATAATAGCTGTTATGATAATACATTTCTACTGTTCGTATGACACATCCTGCACTAGCAAGAAGACTGAGACATAACATGGTGTGAACATAACACTGATACTACCCAATATAAAAAAAAGAAAGAAAGGGGAATATTGCCACACATGCCCCACTGGCAGTTAAGTTGCTGTGTGTGTGACATGAATACGTTTTACAGTGCATAGAGCAGAGGAAGAGCATAACTTTGTCTTACATCATGCAGTCATAGCGGCATTGGAACATAATTGCCTTACATCACCTAAGTCCTCAGAGACCAGAAATAAGGTCAGGTGAAACATGACGCGGATCTCCCAGCCCAGCCTAACCCTGAAAGCTACTGAGACATGCTCCGCTGGCAAAGGCATTCCTACTTCCACATCACTCAAACATTAACCTCAGAGTGTTTAACTCACTTATTATGCCCCAAAACTGCCAATCAACCTGCCAATCAATCAGACACATTACATCATAATGCCCTAACCTCTGACGCCTAAAGTCAATGATAACAGGTAAATGCCTGGTTGAATCTCGTGGTTGTGCTGTAGAGGAGCCCCCAAATTATTAAGCTGTCATAGAAAATGTTCTGTGGTTGCACACACTTCACCCCTACTCAAGGATCAGTTAGCCAGCCTGTCCAAAAGAGTCTTTGAGCTGCACCACTAAAATCACTTAACTCCCAGTTAAACCTTGTAAGTAGAGTTTATTTATGAAGCAACTTCTAAAGCAGATGTCACAAAATCGAAAATCAAAGCCAACAGACACAGGAACACACTGTGCTTCCAAAGAAAATCCACATTAAACTCAGCTGCCCTCAGGCAACTGGTCACTGCAGATAGGTCATATTCTAGTCCCATTAGCCCTGCACCCCTGGAGCTGTTCTCTGCCTCCGTCGGTACAGCCATAACTGTAACAGCACAAACGCCTGCCAAATGACACCCGAGCCTCTCTCTCTGTAAAAGTAAACCTCTAAAATTGAGAACCATAAAACCTCTAAAATCCTGCAACTTGCAATAACGGTTGCTATTTCAATACAAACACTTGCTGTGTGCTAATTAGTGACAATGGGAATACAATGGAATAATAATGGCTGATTTGTATTCTTAGTTCCTTAATTCAAAAATTAAAGCTCAAATAAAATCCACACATTATAAATCCCTGAATTACACATCAGCTTTTTGTCCACTGAAGCAACAGTCTCAAATGTCCCTACCAAATTTGACTGTCCAATGGGAATCCATTTTAACCAATTAACAGTCTATGATAAACACAGAGATCTTTCTTGTGTCAAACAAGGCAATTTTAGCCATAAATCTCAAAACAGTGGTTAACTCATTTCTACAAACTGAATTTTAGCTAATCCTTCGCAAGTCATATATCCTGTAATTCATCACTTCAAGTATTATTAGCTTCAGTTAGGGGCCACTTGGTCTTGCCCTAATCTGCTCACTATCCCTCCACCCTACTGATCCCACCTGCAACACCTATGTTTGAAACAAAAGTAGATCAAAAAGCTGAGGATACAGAGGTGAGAGAAACAAACCAGATAATAAAAATACAGTTTTCTTACCCCTTGAGATTTCCTTTGCAGCAACTTCGGTTGTCAGCCTGAATCCACAGGGAGTCAGCCTAAACCAAGTACCAGGCCAACAAAACCACCACCCGTCTCCAACGACCCCCACCTGCCTCTCCCTGAGGCCTTATAAGGAGAGAGAGCTGCCTATATATAACCAGTATCCTTCAAGACTGTGGGCCACTAGAACCAGTCAACTATTTGATTAACAGGGTTTGCCCATTACAGTTTTTGGTGGATGAGTATGTTGGCACAATTGCTGGTTTCTGGGATGTTAGCACAACAAGTGATGCTTAACAACTGGTTATTCAAGTATACCAGCTGATCCAGACAATGCAGAGAATCTGTTATGGGTGGGCAGTGCTACACATGTTCAAGTTGCATTTTTAGCTCTACAGAATAGGCAGCAATACGGCAACAGGGCTGGTCAGCTTAATTTCTTCAATGCCACACTTGCATATTTCTTGAATAATAAAACATACTAAAGACAGCATTACAGAGCTTAGAGAGCATGTACCTTTAAACTCTGAAAAATAACTTTACATTCAATGTTGCAACATACAGTACATCTACAGTGTACAGCTGTTTCTCATATACAGTTAAATCATTATAGCTGCATTTCAAACAGTTCCCAAGCCCCTCTTTAAGATCTCTCTCCATCTGCACTCAGAAGCGTCTTCAGACACTGTGTCGCATGCTGAACTTTGGCAAAGGCCTATTTATAAAACTAGCTACAGTTACAGCTCGACTATTCCTGACACAGTGGAGGAGCTGTGAAACACATTTCACATCTGAGGCGAAATCATAGGATGGGACAACATGGAGTTACACTTGGGGAAAAAACGGAAAGAGAGGAGTGAGAGAGTGACAGGATGGGGGCTCAGGGAGGAGCGTGTGATGTGTGAATGGGAGAAGAGTGTGAACAACAGCTACCAAGGCGACACAAACTCAAGCAGCTTAGGTTTTTGGACTTACGAGGTCGCACTCTCATCAAATTAATGATTAAATATCAAATAATAATCATCATCATATATGCAAAATACAGTATTTATGATTTCTAATTAATTAAAATACAAATTACATTAAAAGCATTTTGTTAAGAGATTAAAATGTCAGAGGGGAGAGTCACCAAGAGTCAGTGGGACTCTGCATTGAAAATTATACAGACACATGAGACATATGACTTGTTCCTATATATGGTTTAATTTGCCTTAATAAATCTTGAACGTCTTATATGGCTAAAATATTTATAAACTCCAGTCAGTCCATGCAAGCATCAATGGACTTATGTTCACTTCTGTAGTCTTTGTTTACTCTTTGTCCTTTTGCTTGTTTTGTGTGTGTATGTGTTTGTTCGCGTGCCGGCATGTGTATGTGTACAATGTGTACAGTACTGACGTCTGTGGTCGAAAAGAGCCCTCTGTTGGTCATGTGGATGTACACTCTGTAACCAAAGCCCAGTGATAATTTTAGGACATTATGTTGCTGGCTGACAGTGAGACACTGGTAAGCCAGGGCTCCAGGGTAATGAGATGGTGGTACATTTTCAGCAAGTTGGACAAGAAAGAAATAACAGTTTTTGAAAGTGTGAGGGTACTTTTGTTGTATGATGAATCTCTGCGTCTTCCAAGTGGATATTATGACATTTTGACTCTTCCAGGCAACACTTTTTGACATTGCAATCCCTGGAGACATAGCAAGATTAATTACTCTCTCATTTTAGTCTCCTGACATGCTTAATTTTACACATTGGCTTATAATGAGTCATTATTTAAAAGGAACCCCTGGGCACTTCATACATTTAATAAGTCAGGCCTGTCCGATTAACTTTAAATTATGAATCGTTTGTGCAGAGCACTTTACAGAGGAAAATGTCTGACTGAATATTTATCTTCAATTGATGATGCATGACGTGGGGACTCAATATATAGTTCACTGTCTATTTAGAACAAGAATCAATTATCATTATATATTTTGATGTTGGACTTACACTGATCAGGACCTGAGGCATTCTGACAGAAAATTATATCTACTGTCCCTTTCCATTAATTGCACAATGTGTTTTAAATAAATAATGTAAATAAACCTCTGTTTAGGTCACATGATTTCTGTTTAGTGCTTAGAGGCATATAGGATGCAGCTTGCCAAAAACTACAGCAGCTGTAAAGACATTAATGCACAGAGTAACATTAGAGATGTACAGCAAATCCCCCAGTATGTCGTGAGCACAGTCCAGCTATTCATGTCTGCTCTCTCATTACTCACTGTCAATATATATATTTTAAATCATCCAGAAAATACATATTCATTTAACACTATGAATAATGTATGTTGTGTGGTTTAGTTGTTAAGCCTGACTACAGATACATTCAGTAATTTGTTGTGAAAGCATTGTAAAACCACCACTCTCTGCTGACACGCTTCCAAATTTCACAAGTGCCTGAGCACTGCTGTTGGCAGACCGTTTTCATATTGTTCATTCAAAACCATTAAAACTGGGTTCATCAGAACGCAGTTTTGTTGAATTAAATTTGAGTTAGTAACAAAAAAACATCAAGACATACGAGTACCTGTGTGGTGTTTAATAAAAATTCTTCATTTTAGCTTAATAAACTTAATCATTACATATAATAAAACAAAAACCTGTGACGAGACCTGGCCTTACTTAACTACTAGAATATTATCATTAGAGCAAGCTGTCGCAAAAGGGGCGCTTGCACAGTTACATCAACGAATCTAGTTTCACATCATCATCATTCACGTCTTCAAGACAAGGAGCACCCGGTGGGACCCGAACAATAGATCAAGCCTACCATCCCACCACGTGATGACGTGTGACGTCCTCGGCGCTCCCGATTGGCTGAGCAGACAGACAGGTAGTGAAGCGGCTGCGGGACATAAACAACAGACTGCTCCCTTGTACATATCCCGTAGCTGTCATGTACCAGTGTAGTTAGATTTTTTTTAAATGAAAAGCTGCGCAGTGTTTGAGTAACCACCGCAACATATCCGGCACGAGGTGAGACCAATTTAATCAGGGCAACTGTTTAAAACGACCCGTGTTAGTTTATAACTGATGTTCAGTTTTACGTTGTCCGTTGTGCTCAACCAACTGAAGCGTCAGTTAGCTGGTTAAAGTTTAACGTTAACGTCCAACTGCCGATATTGTCTCGAGTGTTTAGCTCGGTTTAGCTAACGTTATCACAAATGTAGCTGCGAACGTTAGCTTTAGATTAGCACGAGGTTAGTTCATGTTAACAACAGAAAAACGCTGTTTGTTAACTAAAATTTTATTTAATTCCGAGTGTGATAGCTTGTTATTGTTCGACACCATTTTTTCCTACGGGTGCTACACTGATAGCTGCACTGCAGTTAAAAAGCGTCTAAGTATCTAAAAAGTACATAACGTTACATATGTCTTTGGCATTGTTGTTGACTTAGTGTGTAAGACGCCTTTTGTGTATTGACACAAACAGGACAGTTTCAACACGACACAGGGAACTCCAGCCTGAGATATGTCACAGAGCAGCACATTTTAGCACAAGCTGAGAAATATCTATCCTGTGATAATTAGATCCACATGATCACCTGTCGTCTCCATAAGTAGTGGGATTTTTCACTGTTTGCTAAACGAGCCCGGGTAATATGGGTGCATTTGTTACTGTTTCTGTATTTGAGGGAGAAGTTGCTAAGGTTTAAGTTTTTTTTCTCGATTAGCTAATTAAACTGTTACATGAGATCTTAATTACCACTTCCCACAGTCAAAGCCTCTACCCGTTTTTCTCCTTTTGCCAGTCACTGTGCACAGGAGGCTGTTGTTATTGCTGAGTTAACTAGACCTGCACTATATTAAAAGTGTCCCTAGATAACCTTTGTTCTAACCTAGTGCTATATAGGCTAAATAAAACTGGACTAATTCTACACTCTGGATGTAGTTTTAATGTTGTAATGTGGGTCTTGCAGGGACATGGGATGTTCTGATGTTTAATACTAACTACCATACTTTATAGTATGCCTGTTAAAGGTTTAGTGTGTCCCAATACATAGTATGTCTAATACAGAATGCCAAAAAATACCAGGATGTTCTACTACATCCGGTCAGATTTTGCAGTATGCAAGCTAGCATGCTTTACTGACTATTCTGACCCACAATTCTTTGCACAGCAGATGGTATGTCACATCGACTGACCCACGAACACTACACAGCTTGACAGCTCATTGACAGATGACAAATAATAATATGAATATTTTGTTCACTTAAACTATCAACATTCCTAAGTATTACAATCAACAAAAGGACATAACTATGAAAATAACAATGGCAATGCAACATGTTGCAAATATTATGTTAGAATCTACAAGTTGTCCGGGTTGATCTCCATCTCAGGAGAACTCGATAAGTGACCTTTTTTTTTTTTTTTTTTACCTCCAAGGCAATGGATACAAAAGCAAGAGTGTCAAAGTTCAGGGCCTAAGGTTAAAAAAAAAGTATGCGATTCAGAACGCACCCTGCGTTCTGCATAAAAGGAGCTGTGACTGAAAAATCTATTATCTTCTTTTAGGTCAGACATGAGGCTCTGCGCCCCTCTTCTGCTCTGCCTGGCAGTAGCCCTGTCATCTGCCTTTGTGATTTCACCTCCGTAAGTACAGCAAAATAATACACTGTACTCATAGATGAATATGATGGTAGATGGCCTAATGAACCCTGAATTTTCTGCCTCTCCTTTTTTATGTCTATTAAATTAACATATAACTCTCAATACACAATGTTGTGTCCTTATCATCCTTTTCAAATAACAAATGATTTGCCTGTGTGTGTACTTCAGACACATGTGGACCAAACTGATCCTGACCCACCACTGGCCAACCACCTTCTGTAGTGTAAGTTTCTTCCTGCCTTTATTTTTTCCTTATTTTGATCATTTTATAGATGCAACAGGGCTAATTCACAAAAACACAGGTGTAATTAATAAAACTTATGATTGCTATTTAGCTGGTTGAAAAGCACATAGCCATCACTAATGTTATTAGTACCACTTGTGCTTTTCCCACTAAGAAGGGTAAAAATATTCGCTGTGAATTAAGACTGATGAATTGGACCAGATTCAGCTTTTTCTCTATTAACATTTTTTTCTCCTGTGCAGGATGAAAGGAGGCTGTTACTTACTTAAGCCCCTAAATCAATAGTTTAATGTTCAACTGAATAAATACCACAGTCATTGATGAGAAACAAGGTTTTCAATATACTATGATAAGCAGCAGCACTATCAGCAGCCTGTGGTTGATGAGCCAGGTTTTGGTTTTCACAGTCATCTCAAGAGCCTCTTTGTTCCCTAAACTTTAGTGTGTTTTCACATGCAGCATTCTTAGTCCAGCAGTAACTTAATCCATGGGCCTAGCCAAAGTATTATGTTGTTATCTGGCTAGATTCTTTTCATCACCAGCAAAAATGAAAATAGCCTTGTTACAAACTAAGGGTAGTATGGACAGACAATATTTCTTCAAAAATTATGATAAATTGATTAACAACATGGTATCCCATGTTAAGATAATGTTCCCTTCTCATACTGCCCTGGAATGATACCTATATACTGTATCACTGCTTCAGTGTATAACCCTTAAATGTCATGTGATGTCTCTGTCTGAGTCATGAGACTGGCTGTGTGTCAACACTGTGGTTTGAGTAGGCAAGATTCTCTTCAACACAGGAAGATGCTGTTTTAACCATTCCTTAAGTCACGAAACAAAATACACATCCCTTATTTTGTGCTTTTTAACACTTTTCTTGCTGTTTTTGCTTTTTGAGAACATCTCTGATGGTTTAAACCTTCAAGTGATGTGGTTTTGTATCATGTGCCTGGCTGTGTGGTAGAAGCAAAGTTTTGGTAACATTGTGTTCTTGTTATGACAACTCTCTGTTTGGGCTTAAAATGTTTTGCCACTTATTTGCTCTCAGTCTCATTTTGCTTAATAATTGAGAAACTAACATTCTCAGCAGAGGTTTGAAGTTTTGACACACCAAGGCCTAACTTTGGAGATAAACATAAATACAATAAACAAGACATACTGTATCTCTAAAGTGATTGTTCATTTCATTAATCGCTTAAGTCTTTCATCAAGTACAAACAGTAAACCATTGCAAGTGGTACTGATAATTAATAGAATTAATCATTAGTCACCACCTGTGACTAGCTTTGTGTTCATTTCAACCTTTTTTTATTCTTGCATTTTTGTACTTGAGTTTAGTGAGACACTGCCAGCAGAGTATCAGTGTATATTAATTAGTGATAACAGAATTCAGTGTAAATCTTGTGTGTCCAGATGGAATAACAATACTCATTTTTATACATTTCAGATGGAACACCCAGCATGTCATCCCAACTTGAGCTACTGGACACTTCATGGTCTCTGGTATGTGTGTCTGTTTTAATCAGATAAAAGTGTCATCTTCTCTTTTTCAGAGTGGCAGATCTTGCTGAACAACTACTTGCTATGTATTACCTTTTAAAAAAATATTCAGAGTAAATGTACTGTCTTAAAATGTTTACTTTTACAACATATTAAAAAGATACAGTAGGCTTGGGCAGTATCTATTTTTTCATGTCATTTTCTCAGACATTTTGAGGATGTAAAGTATCTGATGCTATTTGTGTGGTTAAAAAAAACAGCAGTGGGGCTGCTGCATGCTGTGCACTGCATCACCTCAATACAGAATTTCTTTATTACTTTAATAAAAACGGGGAGTGTCAGTATTTTTGACACTACTGAAAATCAGATCGTTTGGATTTCCAAACACCCTGGTATAGCCTACATAGTACAGAAACTGCTAAATCTTAACGTATAGTATAAGAATAAATACAGCAAAGAACTAGTTGTGCATTACTTGGAGAAAGAAATGCTATGTATGGCAAAACAGCTCTTTGAATCAGTTACTGTTGCTTGGTGGTAATAATATAATATAATATAATATAATATAATATAATATAATATAATCTCTCTCTGCAAGTAAGGAACACAGGCCTAATATTTAATAATAATCTAATATGATCTGATGTTTTGAATCTTTTTGTTTTCCAGGCCAGATAAAGGGATTGACTGCAATTCATCATGGCATTTCAACTCTTCTCAAATAGAGGTACAGCACTTGTTCAGTCCGAGTGTGTCTTTATAACTGTGTGTAAAACTCATAAAAGTAATTTATTCTCTTTCTATAGACCTGTAGTCAGTTTAATTTATCAAGAAGGAACATAAACAGACACTAGCACAGATTGTAAAATTTGGCATTACCAAAATTGGGAAGGTATGGTGGGAATGATTTTCTAATCTTTCTCTCCAGCTTGTATACTGATAAAACAAATCTGTTTTTCAGGACCTGCTTCCAGACATGAAGAAGAGTTGGCCTGACTTACTTAACCCCTCATCTGCTGGATTCTGGTATTGTATCAGTCCCTCCTGTTTTTTATTGCCTGTTAATCTGTCTGACACTTTTTAACTGTGTGCTTTCTAGTTAATATACTATAGTACTACACTGCTACTACATCACTATCATCTTTCATGTATCTTCCAACTGCTGCTGCACTGGTTGTATTTTTTGACAGTGCGTCTTCAAGTGGCTGTGGATATGCAAGTAATGTGACAGAGATAATAACTACTGCTTATTGCTATGTGTTTGTTGTTCTGTTTCAACAGGAAGTATGAGTGGCACAAACATGGCACATGTGCAGCTAAAGCAGCTTCGCTGAATAGTCAACATAAATACTTCAGCAAGGCACTGGAACTATACCATAAAGTGGATTTGGACAGGTATAGTACATACACACACGCGCACACGTCTTTCTACAGAAACAATGACTGATTTTTAAGTTCTCAGAACTGTCTTACAGTTACTGATAGGGTTGCAGTGATATGCAGGTTTCAAGGTATACTGTGATATGAAAGTTGACAGTTATCATACCATGTACATTTGCTTAGCTATGATATTTTTTTTTTTTTTTTTTTTTTTAAAGCTAATGGACGGAGAATCTCACTTTTATTTAAGTTATTTTCTAAAGGGAGACTTTTTACATATTGAAAATGGTTTTAAAGAGGCAACAGATAGGATTCGTTTTTTTTTTAGCTTGGCGCCACCTAGCGTCAGCAGTGTTGCTCGCACTGTCGCAAAGACCAAATTGACCGTGGGGATCAGAGATAATCAATAAAATGTAGGCTGTAAAGCCACCAGTGTACCTCTATGTATATGTAGAATGAGAAGGTGTGTGGACACTCTACTAAAAAAATGAGTAAAGAGACCGAGCAACAATTATCAGATTTATCTGAAGAAAAAACAAATAGTAATGCAAATAATTACACCAGAATGCACAGTACCAGTGCAATCAACTCACAGTAAATTATACCAGTATGTACAGTATCAGTACAAACAACAGTAGACATGTAAGGGATAATCTATAGTGAGCCGGTGACTGTTGAAAAATAACTCCCGACAGGGGAATGGAACCCCGACGAAAAGAAGAGTTATTTTTCAACAGTCACAGGCTCACTATACATTATCCCACTTAGAACATGGCTTACTACTAAGACATTCAAATGTTACAACTGGCATCAATATTATTAAACTGCTGGCAGAGTGTTTTGACAGAGGAGAGGCGTTCACCAAACAAACGGGAGCGGAGGAGAGGATTTTACTCCACTTCTCCCGGTCGGAGAGGCTGGGTGCCCAGTAGCTGCGGCGGGGCGGTGGGGGTAATCACTGTCCGAGGGCCGCCGTAAAATGGCTACGAGGATGTCAGCTGACCAACACTTGCTACCCGGTCCCTGGTTGCGGCGATTTGCGATGCTGGCCAGCTAGGAATGAACCAGCAGCCAGTACAGTACAGTCCTCTCTGGTCTAGCTAACATTTAACAGTGTTACTTACAGATCCATTAGAAAGAAAGCTAGCTGGACATGGGTTTTGAAGCCTCTTTGGTCACGGAGCTCCCTCCATCTCTTGAATGCCTGACTGAGGTTTACTCTCGTTTTTCCTCTTCTTTTATCACTCTCCTTTTTGCTCTTCTTTGCCTCCTCAGACAGATTAGCTCGTTTTCTTTTGGGAGGCCGTTTTTCACTTATCTCCAAACTTTGTCCATCTGCCATTGTGCTCCTGACTAAACTGTCTCATGCCCCGGCCAGTTCCTCATAAGGACCAGCTCCAGTCCCTGATTGGCTGACCGACCAGTTTGGCAATACATGACGCATTTCCTGCCGTAAAGCAAATTTTTTCTGCGAAAATTCGTTCCCGGTGGCAGAAGCTTATTGCAAAGCCATTAAGTAACCTATGTAAACGCTGATAGTCTGATTTTACTGTGTATACTACCCTGTGCAACCCACATTATTTTCATAATGATATATATAGGCAAAAATGCTGTCTGTTGCTTCTTTAAGTTTCAGCCATAGTGATAAACGGCTTGTGATAAACCAAAAATAACCCTTCTGTTTTCATTTCTTTAAGGTTCATTCTGACTGATATTAATTTTGTAATACCGTGAAACAGCAACATTTTCTGAAATGGTTACTGTATTGTGAAAATCTCATACTGTTGCAGCCCTAGTTACTGATCACTCCATGTTTGCCTTCCACAGTGTAGTTCACAGAAACTGACTCCTGTTGTACAATTATTTTAAGTTGGTCTGTATAAAAGCATCAAAACCTCAAAGACTACAATAGAAATTTATGGAAATTTGTGTTTCTGTTACTGTAGCATCCTGAAGAAGTTTGACATCACCCCTTCAGAAAAATACTACACAGTGGGTCTATTTATATTTCAAAATCAAATTATGCCATATTCTTAAGTATTACTGTTATGTTGGGAATAATCTGTGGCATAAAATTGCCTCATAATAATTAAGTCACAACTAGTCCCTCTCACGTTTGCTCTTCTCTCTGCTCCTAATGTGTCTGTGTGTAGCTTTCACAAATTGAGGGAGTCATAGAGAACTTCTACGGGGTCACACCTAAGATACAATGTGCCCATCCATCAAAGGTAAAACACCTTCAGTCAGTTAATGAAATCATAATTTGCCCTTTGTGTTTTTCAGGAACATTTAGGCACTTTTTGTGTTAGGTGTAGCTGTATTTAAGATTCTTATATTTCCTATGTTGGCTGATCAACTCTTAGATTGTTAAATTGTGTGTTTTTGTGTTTGACAGAATGCTGATGTCCAGGTTTTGGGGCAGATTGAGATCTGTTTTGACCCTGACTTCACCCTCCTGGATTGTGAGAAACATCTTAACAAGGAAACAATATTTAAGGGAGACTGGGACAATGAAATTGCTGTTGACAAGGTGTCTGGGTTCAACGTGTGTGACCATGATATGCCAGTTTACTACCCACCTCTTCAACAAAACAGAAACTGAAATGCAGCAGCACACTACAAGCCCACTTTCACACACACAAGACATGCAAACAAATATATTTGTTTGCCAGTCAATTGTACTGTAATGTTTTTCTCAGGCCTTATAATAAACATCATAATTAAATTATGCTGTATATCAAAAATAGCCTCACATATAAACATTTTAGAACTGCATGAAAATTCTGTCTGTGTCAGATACTTGAAAAAATCTGATTTAAGTGCATTTTTTATTTTTTATTGTATCCTACAAAAACCAGGACACAAACGGCACTGCTACGTAGTGCTTTAATGGAATTACGTCCCTTCCTGACCCCTGCTAGCAGATGAATCCCATGTAGTGCACAGCATGTTGTTTTTCCACGGCTCAACAGGAGGCATCATGGTGATTTCAGGTCAGGCAGGCAGACAGGCGGTTTATTTACTGTATCTTTTTTGCAAATGAGTGCAGCCTTGTGCCAGATTCATTCATTATTACAGACTTAAATGCAGTGGTCGAACCCTTGTGTATATCTTGTAACTGTGCTGGACATATTTTAAACCACATTTGTGTGCCTATGTTCTACACAATACGTGCTATCTCTTTTCTGCAGCAGTGATTGGCATTTTAGCATTAAATAAATGCTTTTTAGCATAATGATAATGAAATTAATCCAATACATCAGCATAGCTGGTATTCTCTATTGTTAAATCACTACGTTAATAATATTGTGTATTATGCATATGTATGAGGGCTTTTCGGGGCAAGGGCCAGACTTTCTAAACAAACACTGCTGTTGTCAACAACATCCACAATCTTTGAGGCATTTTAAACTAGTGGTAGTAATCATTAGCTACCCTCTGATGTTGCCAAGTACACAAGCAATTATTGAGTGTTGTGCTGACAGCCTGCTTCAGTCTGTCAATTGATGTTAAAAGACAACTGTTAGTCACATATGTGAGCTTAGGAAGTAAATATAGTACATAGTTTATAGAGAAAATGCTTTAGTGTCAACTACACTGTTCACTTTAAGTAGATATGAGTCCAAAAAGCCAAGTATTTTTCTATGGAAACCTCACAACACATATAGCAATACATTTCACAAGATGTCACACAAGTTCATGGCGCACCATGTTTGCCACACATGCTCTCAGCCTGTACAGATCAAATACTTGTTTCTCAGTGACATAGGAAGTGTTTTGGTAAACACTATTTAATCTCTAACTGATTTGTACAATGACTTGTTTCTATTGGTGCTGCTGGCTATGGCTGTTTTTGTGCTTAAATAGATCAATTAAGTGTAAAATGAAAGGTAAAATGACTATTGTTATAGCTGCAGTGAACAAATGCTGTGGTGGGAAATTAATGAAATGAACATTTGTACTGTCGTTTTTAAAATGTAAATAAAACATTCAATATTGATTCAATCTGCCTTCTTGTCATCAGTGAGCTATTATGCAACATTCAATATTAATTAAAGTGCATTTATTTGCATTTTTTATTTATGTAATTGAGAGAATTCAGTCTATAAATACAGCCAGGTGAATAAACATAGAAGAACTGTCTGCCTGAGAACAAGTGCACATCTCAACCTCTGTCAAAATGCCTGTCTATGCATGTAATATAATACAGTATCGTAATAGTACTACGCCTATTTCTATCTGTCCACATCCACTCAGTGTGTATGAATATTAATGTCGTGATCTCCTTACAGAGCCATAATCCTCCCGGGACAAAGACACCAGTCCATAATCCCGAATCTCCTCCCACAACACAGCACATCAGATTGAATGAACACATCTGATTACATTTTCAATAGTGCTTAAATGCCCTGAAACTATGTGCCAGCTATACACTCAATGTGCTCCAAATCCTGTCAAACACATAAAAACAGCACTATGAGCTCAGCTTTTAGTGATGTTCCAAGTTTGGAGATCATAGTGTGAGTGTTTGAGGTGAATTATCCTGTCTGAAGAAATTGAAATCTTTTAGAAATAAATTCAAGCCCACATCGGTTACCGCGTTTCACCCAGGTAGAGCAGCAGCCCTAACTTTAACCCCTGCTTCCATCTAATAACCCCCCCTCATCTTCCCTACTTCCCTTGGTCTCTATTTCCACCTCTCTCCCTCTCTCTCTGCTTATGTAACACTGCAGTTCTGCAAAGCTGCTGATGTGACAGATCCAAATACCTACACACACACACACTCACACACCCAGTGATCAACCAGATCATGCTGTACTCTCTGATCGCTGTCCTTGCCTCTGTCACCACTATTGATGGCAACATTGATTGCTGTCCTAAAATTGAATTGCAAATGACACTGACTCAGAGCCACACAGACCTCTGCTGGTATCCTGCTTATACACTACTTTATGTTGTCATTTGTCATCATTTTTCCATTCAGCCTGTGTGTTATCGGGTGTCAGGCAGGAGCTAAAGGGAAGGGACAGAGGAAAGAGGGAGACAGAGAGAGGTAGCTGGGTTACACCATGTGACCTCGCCAGCTGTTGCTGTATGCTGGTGGGAGAAACAGGGAGGGAGGTGAGGGACAGGAACAGGGGAGAATGAGAGAGGGAGGGGTCGGGAGCTCGCCGGCACACAATGTGACTGGTGACAATCCCTTCTGCAGAGAGAGCGAGAGAAAGACAGGGAGGCAGTAGGGGATGAACACACACATGCTCAGGCAGGGATGTGAAGAGGGAGCTCACACACACCTCTCCTGATTCAGCGGAACAGATTTATTCGTCACCTCTCCCGGCAGCCTCACACAGCGAGCCGGCTGCAAAACACAAGACAATCCCAAACCCAGCAGCACCTGCCCCGTCCGTCAACCCATCTGTCTGTCTGCGCAGATTAACGGCTCTGTTACAACTCTGACTGCGTGCTTACTGGCGTCCACTGCGTCTGAGAGACAGAGGGGGGACACGACATCCAGACAGACGAGCGGCGAATGTGAATGATGGGAAAACTAAAGAGCGACGACTGCATTGAGGATGGGCCAATGGATAAACTGCGGGACAAATAAATAACCGAAGAAAAAAAAAGCCCTGCTTCTGCATCTCTACCTTAGGACCCCCCTGCAGGGAGATGTTCATCATTATGGGATAGATGCACAGGTCTGCCTGTTGCCATGGATACCAGCACGCGAAAATTCACAGTGCGGAGATGGTTTTCTATCTACCTGAAGAACAAGGCAGCAAGGAACAAGAACAACACAGGCTTCTGTCAGCTAGAGGTTAGTCAAGCTGTTCAGACACCCACCCAGGAGCGGTGCAAACTTCTACCAACTAGAGATTAGTACATGTGTGTGAATCTGTGCGTGCTGGAAGGGTGGTGGTGGGGGGATTGCATCACAGTTGCACCATGTGTGTGTTTGTGAATATTAAGGCCAAAACAGCAGCCGTCTCATATCAACAGTAGATGTGGATGTGTCAGAAGAGCCTGCGTGCACATGGGAATGGGTGTGGGAAGAATGTGTGCGATTTGGTTTGTTGTGGAGGGGTTCAGGAGTCATTGCAGCATCGTTACAGCTGTTCCTCTGCCTGTCTGTCAAGAATGCAGAACACAGAGGGGCAGAGAGACGCTGTGTTTTGACTGAGAGAGGGAGACGGGCTGCATGAAAATACATTCAGGGAGACAAAAGTGCTATCAGGCAAACAAGCAGCCAGGCAGGCAGGTTGATAGATAAATAGATAGAGACAGATTGATTCAGTGGATGGCAGTGGAGGTCTATTTATAGCCCAAACAAACCAGCAGGGAGTAGAGAAAGGCAGTATGCTGTTTGCAGCACATCTACCTGTTTGTTGGAGATATAAATAGAAACTCTCCCCTCCTCTGGTCTTTGCTGTTGTGACCAGGTGCTGATGAATCATCTTGACAGGCTATCTACCTGTTTGTGTGATTGACTGTTAGTCTTTGTGGCTGGCAAATGTCTGTCTGCTTGTGTTTGTTTACCTATTTGGCTGACTCTCCACTTCTGTAACATGATGCTTTGACGCTCCATGTGGGGAAGATCTCCTTTCACTTCCCTCCTCTTCATGGGAAGGTCAAATTTCAGGGTGTAGATCAGCATCCCAGAAGCTGGTGCTGAGGCCTTGAACCTGTTTCCCTCTGGTCAATGGACATCACTCCTGCTGTCCTGAATAAAACAGCAATTAATCACAAAGGGCAAACTGCTACTGCACTACTCTGTATGGGCTAAAACTTTCCAGCATGTTACACTGCAGCCACGCCCCAGTTAGTGATATCACAGCAGGTGATTGATGTGTAAAAAACTATATTACAATTGCTTTGACTTTACAATTTTAGTGTGTGAAAACTAAATATTAATAACTGTTAAAGGGACAGTTCACACCAAAATCAAAAATACATGTTTGGGTTTTTTTGTCTTACCTGTAGCAGTATTCATCAATCTAGATTGTTTTGGTGTGGGTTGCCGAGTGTTGGACATAATAGTCGTAGGTGTCTGCCTTCTCTGGAATACAACAGAACTACTTAGATGACGCTCTCCAGAAACCATGACCCAGTTACTCAAGGTAATCCATAGTTTTTATGTAGGAACTATTTTCTTTCTTCCAAACTACAACCGCCAAGAAAGGAAGCGTGCATCTACTAATGGACCAGAGGCCCGTTCTTGTAACGGCGCGAGATGTAAACATTAGGCTCGTTCAAGACAAGCCAGGCCTGTGCCGATCACCAATAATCACCACACACAATGCATGCTGGTTTGATTTGTGTCCAACTTCATCCTGACTCGCTCTGACATCATGCAGAAGTGGACAACAATACTCTCACAAGATCGAGGCGGTGGAATTTTTTAGAGCTGGGCACTGCAGTGATCTCTCCACCAACTTCAAGACTCGGGGCATGATTTAAACGCCTGACTCTCACCTGATCTAACTGCTGATTGGTTTTAATGTGGGGCTGATGATGACATTTTGTAGTCAGAGACTAAATAAATTCATAATACAGATGATAAACTAAACATAGTCTATTGTATGAACACTAGACTGTTTTAATCATTGAAGTATTCAGCAACACAAAGACTTGTGGTAAGGGAGATGTGAGGGTTCTTAAAATGACTGATCTTTAATATAATCTGTTGTCTTGTATTTCTTTACTCTGTTTGAATATTAATGTTTTTAATTTATTTAGGTAGTTTGAGGGTAGCCGCCTGTAAAGCATTTAAACAGGCTACTCGTCATAACTGAAACAATTGGAGACTGCAAATAAACTGATATATGGGTCTAATAACATTTTAATAAATCAGAATCAGATCCAACAGGATGAGTGTTTCTGTGACTTCCTGTACAAACTGCTGGAAACTGTCGGGAAACCGCCAGACTTGACTGCTGCTTTTTATCACCTTCCCCTGTAGCACCTGCCTGATCTCGTCCACTTTCTGGGAGAGGAGCAGTTCAAAACAAGCCTATTAATTGCATCCCTACCAGCTGAGTTGTAACGTTTGCTACTTCAGTGGTGCTAGGTGAGCTAGCTAAGCTGCTCACAACAAGGTCTGTAGATTATCTTGACTAACCAAGTCATGATTTCTGGCTAAAGACATAGCTGTTGAGTTTTTCAAATGTATTTTTTGGCACTTTGAATACCACAAGCCAAGTGCCATCTAATTTCATTCTATTTGAGAGAAGGCAAACAACTCTACGGCCAATAACTCCTACACTTAACAACTCACACCAAAACAATCTAGACTGATAAGTAGCACTACAGGTAAGAGGGAAAATATGCATTTTTGATACTGGGGTTAACTGTCCCTTTAAAAAGCCATTTACTCTAATAAACTTTACGCATGACGTGATTTACATGAAGTATTATTATAATTCTACATACCAGAATTTGAGTCTCAGAAGTAGCATTTTGTGCATTTACATAAATTGATGTGAAAACTGAGTCGAAGCCAGTGTAAAATATTGTGATAGAAAATCCTTTGACATTACTGACTGTGTTAGGTGGGGTGTGGATCTGTGCTGTTGCTGTGCTGCCATGTCAGCAGTTGATATGCTGTCAGGTTTGTTTCACTGAGGATGAATGTGTGGCTCAGCCTGGCTCTACACTTCCTTAGGGATCTAGACTGCAAGAAAAGTATAGTTTAGTAATTATCTCCATCTTGTAGAGCAAAAGGAATTGCAAAGAGGGTGAGGTTATTTCATGTTTCTAATAAGAATTTATTACATGGCATTTCTGCATCAATCTAGAGATTCTGACTCTTGGTCCCTACAAAATTTCTGATAAAAGGGAAACTGCTCTAGAACAATTAGACTTATGTCTCCCTCTGGCAGATTTTGTTATTGTTGTAATGACAATAAATCCCAACAGCTGAATTTGAGACCAAATGGCTTGCTTTGCTGCATGCTTTTGACTTGGCTAAACTGTAACAGAGAAGCAAATGTGCTGTGATACTCAATAACACACTCACTACAGAGATAGTCCCAAAGAACTTGCTGTCCTGGCAGAAACAGATCTAAGTGACAGCTTGATTATTTTTAGCTTTATATGGACTTTGAGTCTTGGAAATTATTCCAATTCCAAACAGAAGGACAGATCTTCCACCATTATAGAAACACTATGCTGCAGTGATTAAATGCCAATAAGGCCTCAAAATGTTTTGAGTGGCAGACATCTTTGTCAATTCTACAAACCTTACCTGATCATTAACACTGTACGTTATGTAGATAAAGCTTTAGCTAAACTACAGACCATATTTATAAAACTAAAATGCCTTTGTGTATGTGAGTTTGTTCAGAAAAAATAAAGACACTAAAAGACAAACAGAAAAGTGAACTCCCTATTTCGCTGCTCACAGGAAATATTGGCCCAGCCCTGTTCCTGTTTTTACCATGTGCATGTTTGGTCAAACCAACAGATCAAATTAGAGGATATGATAACAGTATTTCCATTAACATGTTTTCTACCATTTTTAGCCATGTCAAGCTGCGTGTCTCAGTGCCTACTACCGGAGAAACAAAAACGTCAGTAAAGCAGGACCACAGCTACTTATTTAAAATGTAATTTATGTGTATGAATTTACAACCAATACCTTTCCAGACTTACTTACTCCTGTTAGCATTTCATACTTGATTGACACTGTAAAGCTCTTAACTTCTACATAACTTAACAGAATTACAGTATATTGTCACACTGACTAATCTCAGTCGTGCCTCGGGTTGGCAGCCGATCATTTGCTTCGCTGAGCAAACTGAACAGGCTGAAAAAGACAGCTTTACACTATGCATCACTGCCAGTGACCTCAGCCCATACCTTTCCAGCAATAACATAATGGCTCATAAAGAACCATCTGGCTTTGTGTGTATTTATAGGAGTGATTAACTTTTTCTCTGAGGGTTGTTTTATCGATATGGATGTTAAATGAGCAATATTTTAATTGTAATTCATCTCACCTTTGAGAGGGATGTTAAGTTTTTTTTAGTTTTTGTCTTTTATATCTCTTTCTTTAAATGACAAACTAATAGTGATGTCTGTCTCTCTTTCCTCAGGATGACAGTATACTTAAGGAGATTGACATCAGCCACCATGTCAAGGAGGGTTGTGAGAAAGCAGACCCCTCTCAGTTCCAGCTGCTTAAGGTGCTGGGACAGGGCTCCTATGGAAAGGTACAGAATCCAGATTTTAACCCTAACCACTGAAGCCTGAAAATCTCAAACCACAACTCATGAACGGAGAATAAAAGAGAAAGCAAGTTCTCCTGAGTCCACTGGATCAGCTTTCTGTTAAATAGAAAGTTTTGTGTTTACACTGGAAGCCAAAAGATAGCCCATGACACTAGGCCCAAAGCTGACAACTACCTGCAAGCTTACTGTACTTGCCTGTCCCACACAGTAGCTCAACAGCGGGGCAGCACTTCTTCAGCTTAACATGTTTATAGTACTAACACCACTTACATTGTCTGTAAGACGTGACTGCAAAAGTCTTTCACTAGAATATCCACTCTTCACACTTACACTAAATAGCCAATAGTATGTGCACACAAATGACTGCTGAACATCTCTGTCAAAACTATGAGCATTACGGAGCGTCGGAGGCTTAGTGGATAGAGCAGGCGCCCCATGTACAAGGCTGTTGCTGCAGCGGCCCGGGTTCGACTCCAGCCTGTGGCTCTTTGCTGCATGTCACTCCCTCTCTCTCTCTCCCCCCTTCACACTCACCTGTCCTGTCAATTAAAGGCTAAAATGCCCAAAAAAAATCTTTAAAAAAAAAAAAAAAACTATGAGCATTACATGTGCTTAATAGCCCACACTCCTCTGGGAAATCTCTCCAGGAGAGTCTGGAACCACACTGCCGGCATTGGCCCCCATTCAGACACAAAAGACTCTCAGTTTGACCATTAGTAGGTGTCCACGCAAAGGTGTTTGACGAGATTGAGGTCAGGGCCTTGTTTGGGATAGTGGGTCCACACCATTACAATACCGGCATACCCCTGCGGTGCAACAAGTAGGCAGAGCCTTCGCACCATTTGACAGGCACTATAGCAAGCAGATCAGCCAGATCTGTGCTAAATTTGAGCGGCAATGGCAGCATATATGTCACGTGATAAATGTGGAGAGAGTGATTGTGAAGGAGAATGTGTGAAAGAGCCAGATTGTGTTCTTGATAGAAAATCTGAGAAAATTGAGATGATCATAGATGAGGCAGCGCGGTTTTTGGATGTTGTGGGGGGGGGGGTGTCTAGAGAGAGGATGCACAGCAGCTTTTGAGAGAAGCTTTTAGGATCTCTAAATAACCAGTAAACAGGACATTTATAATAGAGTGGGGACTGGATGGGAAGGGCTTATTATTATCATTATTATCATTACTGTGAATAGCAGTGGTTTTCAAACTTTTTAACAATAGGGCAAGCCAAAATTTCAAGGCACATCTGTTTTTACATCTGTGCACAATAGCTTATATACCGTGTGTTATCACTCTTATATCACCCATATCAACATGAGACAATAAAAATAATTTTAAAAAAAATAAGACAGGTAGCTTTCTTGAGACTGTCTCCTTACAGTTTTTTCCTCTTTCCTTTCAGTGGTAGGTCATCTTCACAGCGTTCTCCTTTTGTTATCATCCCTTACACTGGCTGCCAATCAGAGCTTTTGGTGTGTCACACACTAATAATTCCCAGCGCAAACGGCGACTAAAGGGTTCCCCGTGAAGGTTTTTTTTTATTATTAAATCAAATTGCATTTTTAGCTAGAATTTGCCTCTTTTTAAAGGCAGTGGGTGCGCACAACATACTGATGCAGTCCATTTAAAATCCAGCCATAACTTTTTGTAAAGGCCCTGTTGAATATTGGCATCACGCACACCATTTGAGAACCACTGCTGTAACGTTAGCATTAGAATGTCCTGTAACTGGAACAAAGGGGCCAAGCTAACAGTTCACTGAGTTTATTTATTAGTAAAGGCCAACCGAATTGTATGTATACGCTGTAGATAAGAGGTCTGCAGGGGGCAGACACGAAGCCACAGCAGATGTTGGCGGCTCGATGCGTTTCCCAAAGCCACAGGCAGGACGCGCGTGAGGTCAGGTTACACAGGGGGTGGAACGGTTAGCATTTTAGCATAGCTAGCTAACGCGCGCTTAGTGTTGGGTTATTGTTACCGTTTATAGCTCATAGTTCTTGTTTCTATCACAGTGAACCCGCGTTTTTCTGAGTTTGTTTATTAAAAGTGGTGGTAGCGAACTTGAATTTACTTACCAAACTCAGCTCGGTCGCCAACAAACTGCGTGTGGAGGTTATTGTAGCATCTGAGGCTAAAATAAAAAAGGTAATGGCAGCTGATGAACTTGGTTTTAGAAACAGGTTCGCGTGGTGCTGTAGCGTAAACCTACAAAATATGAAACTGGATTTTTGAATTTAGTTATAAGAATGTATAAACAATCAGCCATACCAGTTCATTGTAAAAAAAAAAAAAGAAAGAAATTCAGCAGTAAACAGTAAATAATGTATAGGCCAATAAAGATAATACAAATGATAATGAGTGGTAATTACAACAAGAGTATAAACTTAAGAATCATTTATTTGGCATACTTAATCAAACATCTCTGAGTAAATATTAGCTACTGACATGGATTTCTTATTTGTTACAAATCTAAGAGATTCAGAATAGCTTTCAATTTTAAGTAGAAATAACTTACAAAATGGGATTGAATTAAGAAATGTATCTTTATGAATATAAAATTTCCCTAACAAGAAAAAAATAACAATAGTGCAGAAGTTGTTAGCATAATATTTAAAATAACATTTTTAACTTGCATGTATTGTTTTGTATGATATATATAGTTATGAAAGTCCTTCCAAAATGTGATACAGTGTGGGCAACCAGAAAAACAAATAAATAAAATAAAAAATAAACAGATTTGTGTCATAATTTCTCCACATTGAAACAGGTTCTTCTTTTGGCTTCACCTGAATGACGTCAATATTAGACTACTTGTTACTTGTGTTGTGTTTTTTTTTAACTAATGCTGCCGCATGGGGTCTTTTTAAATATAAGACTCATTTTTGTAAATGTTTCAAGCTTTTACAAAACTGCCTGTCTCTAAACCTGATGATAATGGTGATGGTTCCAGGTGTTTCTGGTGAGAAAGATCAGAGGAGTGGACAGAGGACAGCTGTACGCCATGAAGGTCCTCAAGAAAGCCACACTGAAAGGTAAAACTGAAACTGAATCATTTTTGATATAGCTGCACTTGAGAAGTAATTCTCAAAATGTCTGTGGAGGATGATTTTCTTGTGATGTTTATGCTTTTTTTTATTTTCAAGTTAAAGCCTACTTGTAAATACTGTGTGGTTAAACCTATTTGCATGCCTGTAGTATCTAATATCGAATGGAATAAATCACTTAGTCTTGACTGAGACACATTACCCTGCAACAACAACTTTGTTCTTTATTGGGTGCTGAGTGGTGATTTGTTCAAACTGACACTGGTTATGATCAGGAATGATAAGAGATATATTGTTGTGAGAGTTCCCAGAGTGCCCTACATTTTGGAGGATTTTGGGTAAAAGAGGTTACTCTGTACTTTTGATGGGATTATTGTAAACAGGGATGTGCTCTAAAGCAGGTTGAGATGTCAGGCATGTGCTGATTTAGTGTCTTTGTACAAGCTTTAATCCTCTTAACCTGCACCTCTTGAATTTGAATTTGAGTCGTTGGTCTCATCTTGTCAAGAAGACAGATGCTGCAATAACACGTTATTGTGGTTTCCACGAGACTAAAGACCAGCAGCATCATGGGATGAGTTTAATTCAATTTACATGTTTCAATTAAGTGGATGCACTTTCATCCTACATAAAGCATTCTCATGATGCTAATAGAGGCTTGATGTGATTTAACTGCACCCAGGTAGAAATTATATTATGTTATTAAACTAATTCTTCTTGTCCAACCATCTTATTCTCAGTTCGGGATCGTGTGCGGTCTAAGATGGAAAGAGACATTCTGGCAGAAGTGAACCATCCATTTATAGTTAAACTGCACTATGGTAAGTATGACTGTCTGATGGTCTTTGTGTGGGTGTTGATGTTAAATATCTGTCTCTCTGAAATCACAGTGTATTCCCATATATGTCCCTCTTCATTGACGAGAAAAGCAGAAAAAAAGTTCTAGATAACTTTTCGATGCCCAACTTGTCTGTGTGTAGCCTACTAGTTGGAATTACAATTAGTGGGGAAGTTCTTGGCTGAATGTAATGTTATATGCACTGTTACTTTAAATGCATCCTTAAAATAGCAGAATACATAGAGCCCCAATACAACAATGTTACCTCATATAACTTCTGTAAAACTTGTGTTTGTGTGTATGCAGCCTTCCAGACAGAGGGAAAGCTCTATCTGATCCTAGACTTCCTCCGAGGAGGAGACCTTTTCACTCGTCTGTCAAAGGAGGTAGGTATGCTGCTGACAGGCTCCCTGGCTCTTTCTCCATCGCCACTAAAAGAAAAACCTTTCTTTTCACGGTCTATTGTGGGCTGTATAACAATTGTGCGGAATCACCAAAAGTGAATATACCTGCCATCATTCTCCTTGTGAACGCTGTGTTGAGGTGACCTTTATTACTGTCATGCTGATACATCATCAGTAAACAAGTACCACACAAGTATGGTGAGGTTGAGGCGTGCTCTGCTAGAAAAAGATTTTAAAGGAAAGTGCAGTTTTATTTAGTTTTTTTCTTAAAGGTCTAATGTGTAGGATTGAGGGCCATCTATTGGCAGAAACTGTATATGATATTCATAACTGTTTTTATTAGTGTATAATCAAGTGAAATAGGGATTGTTTTGCTTTCAGTTACCTTAGAATGAGCCGTTCATACCTACATAATGAGCGGGTCTTCCTACACAGAGTCTGCCATGTTTCTACAGTAGCCCAGAATGGACAAGCCAAACACCAGCTTTAGATAGGGCCGTTTGCAATTTCGCATCAGCCACTGCAGGTCTGGCACTGGTGCACGCTCGGACACGCTCAGACATGCTCGGGCACGGCACCTGCGCTCTCTCATTGGCCGGGGAAATCTCCGCCCAGAAGCAGTCTGAGCTCACAAAAACATCAAAATACAGTTAAAGGGCAGGAACTCTGCAAACAGAGTCACCACCACACATGAGTAGAAGCCCATAGGTGATGATTAAGCAGGATTTCATTTGTATATGTCTATATTTTGTTTTGTCTGAAAATCCTCCAGATCCTACCTTTAAGTGCACCAGAATGTCATCAAGAGACCTATACCACTTAAAGGGGAACACTACCTCAATTAAGAAGATCAATATGGTATTTCAGAAAGTTCAGTCAATATTTGTGAACATGAGCTACTCTCTTTGAAACCAGAAACTAGTGAAGTAAGTGTCAAACTTGTGATGTCATCAAATATAAAGTCTGGAGCTGTTCCATAGATAACTAATGGGAGTCTGATTTTGTGGAGCTAGAGAATGTTTGTTTTATTTTTTATACCCAAATGAGCTTTATTCTATTGTAGTGTTCTCAGGTCTGAAATAGAAAATGTACCCATATACTCAGAACATTCCCCTGGGTGCTCTCAGTGTCATCTATAACATATTTTCCCATGCATTGTCTATGGAGCAGCTCCCGACTTTATACCCTATGACATAAGAAAATTGAATTCTAGCACTCTAGCTTTGGGATTTGGGAGAGCTGTTCATTTTAACTTATATTTGTGGACTATCTACGACCATAGAAAAAACAGGCATATGCACTTATTTCTAAAGAGTTAAGTTTAATAATTTGTCAATGTTAATACTTTGACATGGGGATGTTGTGACAAAGTGTAAATTACCTCATGATTATGATGATAAATTGAAGCGGTCACTGCTAGCTGCCAATTCGCCAACAAACACACGACTAACTATTGTTGCCCTGATAATGCACGGTATTATGTTATGTTATTTTTTTTTGCTGTATCTGTTGTTGCTGTTATGAATTGATGCTGTTGCCCTGTAGTGTGTTTGATGCTATTATATGACCCTGCGTAGGCTGAGTGTCACTTACGACAGAGGTTTTAATCTCACTGTGACCTACTTAAGTAAAGGATGTATATATGTTATTGAGAGTTAGGTGCTAACGTGAGCCATCCTGCTGCTTTTTAAATATTCTTTAAATATTTAAAAATATATATATTTTTTCTGTTTATGGTATTTTTTAATAACATCCACATGTCTTCATTTGTTATAGGTAATGTTTACAGAAGAGGATGTGAAGTTTTACCTTGCAGAGTTGGCCCTGGCCTTGGACCATCTACACAGTCTGGGGATCATCTACAGGGACCTCAAACCTGAAAAGTACTATCTCATAAAGGCCACCCCTTTTTCTTTTTACCCTTTTTATAGATTATCTTTTTAAAGCAGCATCTAATGTTTGTTCTTTCCCCAACAGTATTCTCCTGGATGAAGAAGGACACATTAAGATAACTGGTCAGTGCATACAGCTGCAAACAATCTTCTTTCTTTCGATTCATCTGTTACTTAATGTCAGTCTTGTTGCTTATCTTGTCGCTCTTCTCTCTGTCTCTCTGTGTCAGACTTTGGATTGAGTAAGGAGGCCATCGACCATGATAAAAGAGCATATTCCTTCTGTGGAACAATAGAGTACATGGCTCCAGAGGTTGTAAACAGGAGAGGGCATACACAAAGTGCTGACTGGTGGTCATTCGGGGTACTTATGGTAAGAATCGCTTCATCTTAAAACAGTCTCTTACTTTGACAGCCTGTTTGACTGCCTGCCACTTTTAATGTGTGCTTGTAATCTGAGTTCAGAGTCGCTTTTTGTACTGACTTGCAAGTTTTGTCTGATCATGCTGTCAAGAACAGCAGGCATGAATTTACTATATCATATGAGCCAAAGACTCAGCGCTTACATAATGTGCCAGTGTACTGATTTCTGAATTTGGCTTTCTCCTGGCAGTAAAGCTGCTTAATTACCGTATCTGGCAGATTAGGTCCCATCACTTTCTGTAATCGTGCATCTGTTGGATTTTGCTTGTTTTGTTTGCCCGGTGGCTTATTTTACTAATACTGAAAAGGAGGTTAACATTCGCTAACAGCTGACAAACACATTGCTTAACATTTCAACATAGTCCCTCTGGTCTACACAGATTTTCAGAAACCTGGAGCCTGTTTTATAGATTGTAGGTCCAATATTCTGCTCAATTTCAGGTTCATACTTGTATTTTAGGTTTCTGCTTACATGCTTCAATGTTCGCAAATCTCATTATTTTTCTCGTACTGTCTGCCTGAATATACCTGAATTCTCCCTCTGTCTGAAATGCTCAGTTTTAGTGCACCAACCCAAAAAACCCTCGTCTACTCTGATTAGTAAGTGATCTTCCACATCTCAGTCTTAGTGTATCTGCATTATCATTGTAGCCAGGTGAATGACTGTAACGGCACTGTAGCGGCAATTTCCAGCTGGGTTCCACATTTACTTCCTGTCAACTTACACTGAAAAATCTTCCAATAGAATGAATCACCCCACTAACAGCAGTCACTTTTAGGTAGAAAACTGGCAGTTAATTACAATTGTGGAGATGTGCAAATTCAGGAAACTTGTTGATTTCTGTTGTCATTTTCAACCGTAACATTTATAGATATATAGTTAAACATGGTGGTCTGACCTATCTGACGTTTCTACTATGCTTATTTTATGTACTTTGTTGCTCTGCCATTATCTTTGTTAAACCAAATCTATTGGCATGGAAGCTAACAATGTACTGCTTTGGACATGGCCCCAGCAAAACATATTTTATCCACCTAAAAAATCCATATCAGTGTAAGTGTGTGGTATATTTGAATATTTGCTCTGCTTTATCTTACACATTAACCAATAAGTGCCACGATAGACCAGCAACTCAGTCTTCTGCCAAGTAAGAGTCTGGTGGCTTTGATATAACGGCTTTAATTCCCCGTCGGAAAAGACTGTCTGACAGCAAAGTAAAGTGGTGATAATATTTAAAATATTCTGAGTATAGTGTACACTGGGTGGCTAAAAACGAACTAATTGAGGCAGTGTTTTCTCTGCGCCATTTGAGTTTATGCAAGTGACGCAAGGATTTTCTGCCCGGAAGTTATTGTAAATAAACATTGTGACTCGGCTGTGGTAATTACAAAGGGACCCAGTTAGGTTGTTTATGTTTCAAATTTGAAACAGTCTATGTAGTATAGTTGTGACATCACAAATGGAAATCCTGACAGCTCTTTGAAAGGCACAGTCTCTGAACTATGGACTGTGTGTATTTCTCTGTGGACTGAGCGTTTTGATACTTTGAGTACTTATATAGCACCTATACCTGCTTTATTTTAAAAAAAAAGACATGGAAATCTGAGTTTTTGCTATATGGAACCTTTAAAACAATAATTGTAATTTTGATTACATTTAATTCAAAACATTGTAATATGGTCTTTTAGACAGGTATATACCATTGTAAATGGTAAAACTTTAAAGGCACTATATGTAAGAATGTGGCCAAAACAGTTACTGCACTCAAATTCAAAATACTGCCGCGAGTCGTGTCCGCCCCCCCTCCCCTACAGATTCAAGGTTGCTGGACAGCGGCACGCTGGAGACTGATTTGTTTGCCCACGGGCGGCTGCCGTGGCAGGGCCACGTTGCTGCGTCCTTGATCTTCGGTTTTCCAGCGGACCATTCGAGCAAGTCCGGCTTCTCTGCTGCTAACGCTGCTGCCGGGATACAGCTCATGAGGAGCCGGTCGCTCATGCTATGTACTGGGACACTGCTAGTGCTGCTTGCCGTGCTGCTTTAGCTCAGTCGTAACTGTAACTGATGCTGAGGCTCTATTGACTGTGTGACTGGTAGACGGCGGTGGGTGGCACAACAGGCCAAAACACAAATTCAAAACATAAACATGATTTGCGGACCGTAAAAATGTTTTTTAAATGCGAATATTCTGGCTGTACTATTGTTGTCGGTGAGATCAGTATGTTATATGAACATTATTCCTTAGTCTCTGTGACATATTAGGAGGATTTTATGACTATTTGCTTTATATTTCTTACATATAGCTCCTTTAAGAAAAAAACTATTTGTTACTGTATTATTTGGAAATGCATTATGGTCTACTCTTATCTCCACTGGATTTTTCTCTTTAATCATCATTACTGTTCATGAATAGTTATTGGTCTGTTTGAGGGTGTCACAGAGACATGTACTGTAGGTGCATAAAACCTTTGCTGCATTTTGATGAGTCAGTCACTGAGGTTGATTAAGGTAACAAACTGATAAATGCCTGTTTATGTGTGTTTTAAGAAAGTCTAAAGCACATAACATCTACACTTTCATGCAGAGTTATTTATTCTACATTAGTCTACTAAAATGTGTCCACCAACAACATCGAGATTACAGAAACAGACTAGTTCACTCATTTTTATTAAGGCACAGCTTTAACATTTGTTAAAGTTTCTATTGTCAGCATTATCAGTTAAAAGGAAGTCTTGTTCATATGCAGGGAAGTCAAATAACTTACGGCATATGCACTGAACACAAAAGCTGAGCGCCATCCACCTCTACATTACTTTCCATTGATCAGCTGACAGGTGTTCTGACAATCTTTATAATATTTTTTCCAGTTTGAGATGCTGACAGGATCATTACCGTTCCAAGGGAAAGATCGGAAGGAAACAATGGCACTTATTCTGAAGTAAGACCCATTCAAACTGATGTCATTCACTGTATTTAAAGCCTTTTATTTATGACCAAATCCCAGTAGTCTGGGTAAGTTTGAAGTTGCTGTCTCATTATAGGGTTTTTTCTCATGTGTTACTAATGTTTCACTTGTGTCTTCTTCTTAGTTTTTGTTTACTAGTTTTGTTACAGTGTACAGTACGTACAGGATGTTGTTGCATTTTGGTCTAACCAAAGTTCTTCCCTTGAACAGCTTCCTCTTTGTCTTTGCAACTGCATTTCTATGTTCTATATTCAGTCTCATATTCTAATAATTCATTTCTCTGTGATGGTTCATTTAAGATACGCTGCTTATACAAACCTTCAATTATCAATCTCAGAATATCCCACCATACCTGAATAAACAGAGTTATAAAGTTGTTGCTGAGAAAACAATGTTAAACTGATCCAACACTATGATGATGATTTATCCCAGTGTTACCAAACATCTACTTCTGTATAAACCTGTTTCTTGTCTTTTCTGTACAGGGCTAAGCTGGGAATGCCACAGTTCCTCAGTCCTGAAGTGCAGAGTTTATTAAGAGCGCTCTTCAAGAGGAACCCTGCTAATCGACTAGGTACTGTATACATAAAACTTGAAAATCGACTGGCAGGTGTGTTTTTAGAATAATGGAAGTACATGTGCATTTTTTTACTGCTTTGGATGACCAAATATTGAGGTCAGTTCTTACCTGGAGGGATGCAAAATATGAGGGACACTGAGGCTGCAGATGATAGCAGCACTTTCCAAAACAGTTGAGTTGATTAACATGAGACAGTTTGCACATAAAAACCTGGGAAGCTAATGCTCTTAAACCTTATGATAACGTAGTAAAACAATATTCTACACAGTAGATCTGTTTATAGTGAGCAATAATGCTGTGAAAATGTCACTTGAACTATTGCAGAACTGAAGCTGCAGCATGATTTTCCAACCTCCCACAGTCTTCCTATTGTATGCTAATAATAGCAAGCAGCACCATTTATGTCACAAATGTCCAAGCAGCCAAACCATCATAGAGGTCCAAATTTGGCAGTGTGAATAAAAGACTTGACTGTATTCATGCTCTTTGCATGTTTTACTCAGTTTTTAAGTGACAGGCGTCTTTGTCAAGCTGTCTCTCAATTTGTCTGAATCTGTGTGACTGACAGGTGCAGGACCAGATGGAGTGGAGGAGATAAAGAGACATCGCTTCTTTGCATCGATAGACTGGAATGTAAGTACAGCTCATGAAGAATATTCTGTCGTCAACTGTCCATCGCAGTTATTTTTGCAAGGGAAGATGCTATTTGCAAGCATCCTGTTAACTGCTAATGTATTATATACATCTATATAAACATTGGCATTATACACATGCTGTACACAGTATACTAAAAATGTGATCACAGACTCAGCTGGGGTGCTTGTTATAGATGTACTATGCAGGATTTTCTGAAACAAAAATCAGCAAACACAACAACAATGTATTAACTCGTACAGAAGTAATCCCTCTCAGCCATCACTTCTGACCCAATTGAAGTGTGTGGCAGTGTATTTATCTGCAGAGGCTTTGCTATCCACCTGTATTTTCTAATTTTCTTCCTACTTTCTGTTTATGGCAGTGAACCCCCAAAGTGCTCAGGTGAGGTCGGTGGCTTTATAAACAGTTAGCAGACAGATGCCAAACAATAGGCAGCAGATATTCAAGAGACACAGCACCGAAAAAAACAGTTACAATGACCCTTTAAGCAATGAAAACAGAGGTATTTTTGGTTCAACAAACACTTTATATTGATTTAAACATGAAACAACTTTTTTAATGGAAGTATGTGTCAAAAGTCTGACAGGCAGTTGAGGTGGAAAGGAGATGCTCACAAGTAGGTGAGATTCTCCGTCAGGTTGCATGTAACACTGTAGGTCAGGAAATGTACACAGTCTGATAACTGTCAATTTTCTACTACCACGGTAAACCCTAAAATCAGTGTACCATTGCAACCCATGTTTTCCAAACAGTAACCAACAATCCTGGATAGTATATCTTAAACACTGCTAGCTGGAGACAGTGAGAAAAGATCTTGGCCTGTATGTCAGCCACAGTTAGGGAAAAGGTCTGTGAGTACCTGTCCTACTACAAACAATTACACCTGGATACTCACACATACTGTGTAGTGATTTGATATTCACAGTTCATGTACACTTCATGTAAGGGTGATTGTGGGAAATCTTCTTTCCCCCAAAGACATTTGTCATAAGATAACAAGTTTTTTCCATATCATGTGACAAACTGGTTTCCTGGAAGTTGCCCTTCTGTGATGCACTATTCAGATTAAAGACATTTATTCTAAGAACAACAGATCTGAATCACATTGTGGGAATTACTTATAGCTAGTCATCGAAACCTTGCAGCTGACTTCCTCAAGAGTTACCCACATCATGAATCATCCTTAAAATGAGATTTTGCTTAGTGGCAAAATCCTGAACTTCCCTGTTGGCCTCTCATTCCCAACTTTATTCTAAATAATCTTCTTATCTGTTGTAGCCTTCCCTTCACAGTGAGTTTGCTCATGCACACATGGTGTGGTTACAGACATTACCTGTGCTATCACTACTATCTAACCTTGACATTCACTCCTTGGATGTGCACTGCTTAAATGGGATCATTAGTTAAACTGTATGCCCAAATTCTCTATTTACAGTAGGGGAAACCAGGGATAGTTGTAACATTTTTGACATTTCTGTCTGTATCTAGCTTGTTTAAGCCAGTTTGTCCAAAAATACAACCCCTGTTTGCTATTAAATGCATGGTTTAGTCCCAAACACAAGGAGTGAAATGTTACAATTCACTCCATAGTCCAGGTCAGTTGTGACATAGCCTGTTGAGAAATATAATGGCATGAAATAGAGATTATGACAAAAACTTGAGACATTGAGAGCTTTTTATTCAACAGTTAAATGACTTTTTAGTATAATTGGTGTGTGTGTATGTGTGCTTGTCTGTCTTTGTATGTTTGTGCTTGTCTGTACTGCACTTGTGTGTGTTTGTTTGTGTGCAAAGTATATTAAAATTTAGCTTGGGATAATTTTTTTTTTTTTTCTTGGAGCCACGTACCAACTTCCCTTACATCTAACAGCCAAAACATTAGCACTAACATCTTGCATGAAAACAGGCAATGCTTTAACAAAAATAAATGTAGTTAAAATAAACTTTCTTACCTCAAAATAATTTTTTCCCTCATAAACTTGGCTGTGTTTGCCACAGGGTGCTAATTTCTCACATGAGGGATAAGGACTAAACTGAGCATGTGCAGAGTGAATGAGGTAATTCGTAGCTTGTTCTTGGTTGGAGAAATTGAAAGTTTTACAACCGTTGCGTGTTACAACCTTCCCAGCCCCTGTTCTTGGGCTGCATGTGAGTAACGTTCATGCTGCAGGAGCCCTCTGCTGCAGACCCTAACGAGCAACGTAACAAGCTTACAGTGGTGCAAAGCAAAGCCCTTATGTAACTACTGTATATCCTCGTATATCCTCTACTTACTGAACTTTCAGTTTTATAAGTAATCATTATCACTATAACAGACAATGCTTTCAAGAAGAACATCATACGTATGTTCTGTAAATACAAGTTAATGTGATCAGGGCTCATGTGCACACTGTTGCACCCGTTCCTTTTCATAAGAGACGCTCAGAAGGCTTGTGACTCCTGCTTATCTGCTGTTGTGAGTAGTGAAGCTCTCATTTCTAACAAAATCCACTATTATCTGCTTTACATGCCCACTAATCTCTGCCCTCACCACCGGCTCTCACTGTACTCCTCGCTACATTACCACCGGCTCGTCCCTGCCAAACACCACATTTTCCCATTTACAGATGGTGCTGCTGGCTTGATGTGACAAGCTATCAATAAGAGGCTTACGTTCTCTTCCACACTATGCTAATTAAATCCCTGCACTGTATGAGGCAGGACTCTGTTGTCCATCAGAATCTGGTTTGACTTTTTCTCTGTGATCCTTCGGCCTTTCATTTCTCTCATCAAGCTGACCGAACTGACAAAATCCGCATCTTTCACAAAGAATCACAACTGCAAATCAAATCGCAAGTACAAGTGTGCATAGAGCTAATAAAAAATAATAACTTTATTTATATAGCATCTTTAAAAACACAGTTACAAAGTGTTTTACAATAAGACCGAACACTTTTAAAACACAAAAACTAAACACGTGATAAAAAACAGAGAGGACAACAACCTAAATTTCCTCTAGAGAAAAAAATGAGATAAGATAGCAAAGTAAATGATAAAATGCAAGAATGTGAAGTTAAAATAATAAATAAATAACCAACCGTAACCAGCCCTACCCCTCACTCCTACACAGCACCAGCCTCTAGCCCAAATATGGTTACTTATGGCTCCAAAAAAACAAGATGGCAACAGCTGTAATGCCAAACTGGAGGTTTCAAAACGGTAGTCCACAAACCAATGGGTGACATAATGGCAGCTAGTCCATTATTTGTACAGTCTGTGAATTGAACACATACCTGCGTCAGATCATTAGAGACTTTGAGAATGGCTATGACAGTGCTGTGATACTGACGAAAAACAACATTGAAACTTTAAGGATACTATTTTTTTCCGAGGCAGCATTAAGCTGCTTTGAAACTTTTTTCTCCCGTAATCTTAGATAAAAGGCAATTTAGAGTTTAGACAATAATTATCTAAGAGGGTAGGAACAAGCCCAGGTTTTTTAAGGACTGGTTGGACACAAGCAGTTTTAAAGTATTTGGGACACAGCCAGTCAGTCGACAATGACCTGTTCAATACTGAAAGCAAACGTGGCCCAATTCAATCCATTACTTCAAATAATAGCTTAGTTGGAATTATGTCAAGAGGACTGGAGGGTGCTCTGGTAAATGTCTCACCATAGATTAAAACAATTAAATAAAAAACTCCAATGCTGGTGGCCTCTTTTAATGTGATTACTACTCAAAGAGAAGCTGCCAGACTGTTCACAGCTGGCAACAACTCACACTGCAATGGTGACACCTGCAGGCCATGTGCATACTCTGTGTACTCCCAGTACTTACATTACATCACATACCATATAGGTGTCCTTTTTCATCATGTCTGTAAAATTAGGACTTTTCATCATCCATGAGTTGAGGCCAAACAGTATTTTCTAGTTTAACATTCTTTATTTTATTCCCTTCCTATTGAATGTGCTTTATCTTTGTCCTCCACGTCAAATTTCAACATCAGGCTGTGACATTGCTGACTCAGTACATGTGTACACTAACAACTTCCATCTCTGTATGATAAGTTTGGTGTGCAATGTGAGACTCATTTTGGTGGGACATGAATATTTCATGTAGCAACTGTGCAACCAGACCTCATATTTCACTGTTTACTGGATACAGTGACTAATAATCACAACAATTTAAAGGACAGAGAGCAATGTGTTGTTTATACTTTTAATTTAGTACAAGCATTACTTTTGCATAATGGTGGTATTGTAAATTTGCACAGATCATGTGTCAGTTTGTGGTTAAACCAGCTGGTGTTGATCCTTGTTGTTTTCTGTAGAAGTTGTACAGGAAGGAGGTGAGGCCTCCATTCAAACCCACAGTTGGACGACCTGAAGACACTTTCCATTTTGACCCTGAGTTCACCTCCAGAACACCCACTGGTAACTGAAAAACACAAAAACATACACATTCATGCTTACATATTTATATATAAACAAGTGTGCTTGATAAAATTAGACATGTCCATTATTGGATAAAATGCAATCAGTGGCTGTGATAGCTGACGATGCATAATGAGAAATATTTGTTCAATTTTTATTAGAAATAATCGTAGTATTGTGTGCACATGTTTGTGTCTTTGCCTGACCAGATTCTCCCGGCATCCCTCCCAGCGCAAACACACACCAGCTGTTTCGTGGTTTCAGCTTTGTTGCAACAAATCAAAGTCAGGAGCCCAGTGTTGCTACGGTAGCGCCTTCACGTCAGGAGGTGAACAACATCGATCCCATAGCAAAGGTCTGTGTCCTCAAGAAGGCAGCTTATGTCCTATCCCCACATCTAATTAAACGATGCACTCTCACACTGATTGGATAATAAATTAACCATGTAAATAAAGCACTGAATTGATCATTGTTTTATGAGTTAACTGACAGGTAAACAGGGCGGATAATTAACAGATTGGCTATTTAATTACGCTGACCTTTCTAAACATTACCCTCATAAATCACCCCCAACTACACTACTGCAGCAACTCACTGCTGAAGCAAAGCAGTTATTCTCTCGCCTAATATACGACTCAGACACATTTGACTATGACAGATATTAGAGAAATATAACAGAAGGCTGTGTGTCTGATTCTTTGTGTTCCCTGCAGCATCTCCAAGGTGATTTGACCTTCAGTGATGTCTATGAGCTTAAGGAGGAAGTTGGACAGACAGCGACTTCTGTCTGCAGACGATGTCTGCACAGAGTTACTGCTGTGGAGTATTCAGTGAAGGTACTGACCACTTAACCTTTACAAGAGCTTCTTTAGATATACCAAAACATTATAATATAAACAAAGTGTTTTTGAACATACACATAAAGCATTTTCAGCTTTTGTCATTGCATATATAGCAAAATCTAACCTTAAACACACGCCTGAATCTAACCAACAAAAGTAGTATTTACATGCAGGCCCATCGTCGGGGGGGTCAAAGGGTACAGAGGACCCTGGCCCAAGGCCAAGGGGGCATTTAAAAGTCTGTAGTTAACCCTTAAATAGGATCAAGCACAACAATTTACTTACTGATTTAAATCACTGACAAGATAAGTTATATGTATTTACATGATAAATAAATGTAATTTCATAATTAAAACACATTTCAACATGCCATCTGATACTACTCTGATACTAACTGGGTATGACTGGAAAAGTGAGAGTTGACAGCCATATACAGTACTTTACACTTTTTCAGGTCTGCACACAATTTGACCGGTATTTAATTAAAGTAGCCTCAAGACTGAATGAATAGGTCTAATGAAAGAAAAATATTTGTTCACTTCTGATTTGATTTTATGATTTAATACCTTGCAGTCATTTCCTCAGTCAATGTTTGATTTTACTTTTCTCCAGTCATTCTTTGGGGGCATTTTTTCTGTGGAAATATGATTACTTGAATTATATATAGCAGGACATATAAAAATGTATTGGGATCCCCCCCTATGAATGTGGATTAGAAGCCCACTTTTGAATATGTCGTCCCCCTGCCTGTATTTACTAATGGCTGGCCTGATTGCATGTATGTATCATAGGCTAGTAATGCATTGCAGGAAAGGTTGGGATTAATAAATAAAATCCACCAGACAACATGCTTTGTGTTTCTGGGTCGTCCTGGTTACATAGAGATTCTGAAGTTGTCTTTCTCAACATATCCTATATGTTTTTGTTGTTATGACAGATTATTGACAGAGCAAGGAAAGATCCAGCGGAGGAGATTGAGATTCTGTTAAGATACGGACAGCATCCAAATATTATTACCCTGAAAGATGTAAGTGTAACCCACCCCAACACAGTGTACCACATAGTAAATGTTTTTTCAGCCATGGTAGAAGAGCCTCCTCAGCATCTTTGTAAAAGTTTTTAATAAGTGCTTGTGCATGTGTGTCTGTGTGTGTTATAATCCTGTGTGTGTGGTTTTGCTGTTAGGTGTTTGACAACGGCCAGTGTGTGTACCTGGTTCAGGATTTACTGAGAGGGGCCGAGCTGCTGGACAGAGCTCTGACGGTGCCAAATTTTACAGAGAGAGATGCATCAGACATCATCTGCACGCTGACCAAGACTGTGGAATATTTACATTCACAGGGGGTAAAAAATATTTGTGAAAACTTTTAACACAAAACTTTTTTTGACATTTACACTTGATTACACTTAGTCTGTGTCTGTGTTTGGTTTTGAAGAAGCAGTTTAAGCGACCATTGAATCACATGTTAACTTTCTAATCATGTGTGTGTCTTTCCCTTTTTCAGGTCGTGCATCGAGACCTGAAGCCCAGTAACATTCGCTATGCTGATGACAGTGGACTCCCAGAGTGCATCAGGATATGTGACTTTGGTTTTGCCAAACAGCTCAGGGCTGAGAATGGCCTATTGATGACTCCCTGTTACACAGCTACGTTCATGGCTCCTGAGGTACAGTAATCATAATCAGTCTCTAATATCTCACCAACCTTTACACACATTTGAAACAGCTATCAAAAATACATTCAAAAATAATAAATCACAGAAACTAATCCCACCAGGCGCTCTGTTGAAATGATTACTGAGTGTGTTTTATTTGTGTGTGTGCAGGTGCTGAAGAAACAGGGTTATGATGCAGCCTGTGACATCTGGAGCCTGGGGATCCTGCTCTACACCATGATAGCTGGGTCAGTTTAAGACTGCAAACACTCCCCTGCTGCTGTAAACAGGATGTGTCAGCAGTGGTTCTCAGTCTTTTTCAACACTTAAATATTTTTTCAGCCAAGTACCCCTAAACCGGCACAAAATGTTTTTAGAAAATTGTGGCATTTTATGGTGATAAATCTTGATAACTGCAATTAATCCAAATAGTTACCACAGTAACTACAGGTTTGTGTACAAAGAGTAATTTGGATACATTTTAAACAAGTTATTTCTTATGATTATTGCATCAGAGATGAGTTTCCTAGATATTTTTAGGAACTTTTTAGACAATGCTCTTTCTGTATTATCATTCAGTTTTTTTTTGTTTTGTTTTGTTTTTTAAACAACAGTACATACTTAATAGGCTTCTTTTTTGACAAATTCAGAGTTTTCTTCTCCCTGACACTTGGCCATTGTTCTATTTGGACATTGGTTGTATTAAACACTTACTTTTCTAACGCAGGATGAAGCTATTAAGCAGAGTGAGGGCTTGTGTTCAGGCCTTCACTGTGCCCTTATCCTGTCAGATTTTTTTCTTAAAAAGTTTAAAGCAATCTAAACTTTTGAAAAACACTGTTCTAAATAAACTCCCTTGGTGAAATATCAGTGACGACAATAACACCGCCTCTCCACCAAAATGAAAAGGATTCTGTTTCAGTTCACGCACATAATTTTAAACCATTTGGAGCATTTTGACCAAAATAAGTTGTTTTGGATTTTGAAAAGTTGGTTTCCAGCTAGAACCAAAAAAAAAGCAGGTTTTCCTTGACCTGAAGTGCAAACTGTTATGACATTAGTGGGCCAGAAATCATCCTCCTATCATTAATAGTTGGTCCATGCCTGTTGGGATAAAAACAAATATCTATAATAACAAAACAAAACGCTAACAAAAGTTAGCAGATAATCAATGTGATCCAACATCTTGCTACTACTGTTTACTTCTGTTGTGTGTTAAGCAATGACTGCTGTTAATGACATATCCTTGATTATGATGGTTCTGCTTAAAAATGCTGGAAATGCAGGCTGGTACACTAGATGGCACCAAGGATCCAAGAATCCTGAACAGATCCAGTTCAAGAACCAGAGCTAATGTGTATTTTACCCATGACAAATTAAAGGTTATTGCTTCTCATCTTTTCCACAGTGGGTTTTTGCTGTGTCTAGCTTTTATAATGTCAGAGGGTTTAATTCATCAAGCATTTTCTTTACACCACTTGTAGATTTTAGATGGCTCCCTTTGGTCTAACTCGTTCTCTCTTACTGTAATTCACTTAGTCTTTGAATTACTCTCTGTAAAGTTTTATTATTATTGGCCCAGTTTCAGTCCGTTTGCCAGCAGTTCTGAGGACACAGCAGAGGAAATTCTGGCTCAAATCGGCAGCGGGAAATTCATTACCACAGGAGGGAACTGGGACCTGGTGTCAGACACTGCCAAGGTTACTTTCTTCTTTTTTTAGAGAGATAGATGAACATACAATGGTTGTGTTGCTTAAGTGATGATACTGGTATTGTTTTATATATATATGTACTATTTTACTAATAATCCTATGCATGTGTTTAACAGGACATTGTAATCAAGATGCTTCATGTGGACCCTCACCAACGCCTGACTGCACCCCAGGTACTTTTAGTCCGTTGTATGCTTTATTATTATTTTAGATGGTGCTACTGTAGGTCACATTGATACTAGGTTTTAATTCCTTTTTTGTCAACTGGAAAAATGATTTAAAATACTCCAGATTTCAGTATTTATGTATGTTAAATTGCTGTATTTTTTTGTATGTCACTGTTCGGAGCAAAATTTTAAAAAATACATTAGGAAATAACCTTTGCTGTGATGCCCTTTAGGTTCTTCGTCACCCTTGGATTGCAGACAGAGACCAGCTCTCTGACAGAGCTCTCACCAGACAAGATGCTCTCACTGTCAAGGTCAGACCTGTGTGCATGTGTGTTTACAGTAAATATCATCAGACCTGATATTTGTGGACACTCTATGTGTAGCCAAGTTACATCCTAATTGTAAGAGAATGATAGTTTGTGCCATCACAAGGAAGATTTAGAGATCCATAGGCTCAATTGAACAAGTTGAAGAACTCTTTTTTTTTCTTCAGTCTGTCAACCTACTAATCAGAGTATGGTGTCTAAATAGCCTCAGTGTGTCCGGATCAAACACTGAATGTAATAGGAATGATTTTTTTGTTGCACTGCATCCACTTGTTGTAATGTCTGATGTGATTTGTAGCATTAGTGGTAGGGTAGTAATGTTTGGTTAAATGTTATTTTGTATTTTTGTGTGTGTATGTGTGTGTATTTTTGTGAAACAGTTGACATCCAGTGATGCAGGTGATTTTTTTTTACTGATAATAAATTTAAAAATGAATCTGAAGTGGTGTACACACAAATAAGAAAACAATTGACATTGTAGGAGGCAAAATCAAGATTAATTTGTCTAATGCTGTTCACTGAGTGTGGCCTCAGTGTGTGATATACACCGATCAGCCAAAACATTAAAACTACTGGCGGGTGAAGTGAATAACATTGATCATCTTGTTACAGTGCAATATTCCATTGGGAAATCTTTGGTACTGGCATTCATGTGGATGCTATGTGACGTGCTCTACCCACCCAAACATCTTTGCAGAAAAAATATACTTGTCGATGGCAGTGGCCCCAAACAGGACAATGCACCGTGCCATGCCACAAAAACTGCTCAGGAATGACCCGAGGAACAGGACAAAGAGCACAAGGTGTTGACCTGGCCTCCAAATACCCCACATCCCAATCTGACCGAACATTTGAGGGATGTGCTGGTACTCCAGAGGTACCCCCATACCCCCCCATCCACGGTGCGTCTTCCTTGGACCAGACTTGGCTCTGAGGGAGTCCTATAGTGTCTGGCACCAGGGCGTTAGCTTGAGATCTTTTGAGTCCTGTGGGATGTGAGGTGGGGTAACAGCACGTCCCACAGATGTTTGATCGGATTGAGAATTTGGGGGACAGGCTGACGCCTTGATCTCTTTGTCATGTTCCTTGGGCCATTCTTGAGCAGTTTTTGTGGTGTGGCACAGCACACTGACCTGTTGGGGGGCCGCTGCTACTGGGGTGTGCCGCTGCCATTAGGGGGTTGCCTGGTCTGCACTGGTGTTTAAGTGGGTGTAGCATGTCTGGTGGCAACCACATAAATGTCAGAACCCAAGGTTTCCCAACAGAACATTGCACTGTAACAAAATGATCAATGTTGTTCACTTCACCCGTCAGTGGTTTTAATGTTTGGCTGCAAAAAATAAATAGATTTAATGTGTTTCTCTGCGTGTCCATCAGGTGGCGCTGTCTGCCACTTATTTAGTTCTGGGACAGCTTAGTCCAGTATTAACGTGATATGACATGATCTCCTCTTATTCCACCAGGGGGCACTGTCTGCCACCTACTCTGCTCTGAGGCGCTGCGCTCCGGCTCCAGTCCTGGAGCCTGTTCAGTCCTCCAGCCTGGCACAGCGGCGAGGAATGAAGAAACTGGGGAGTCCCAAAGTTAATCCAGACCCTAAAGAAAAGGAGTAGCCCCAAAAATGTGAATGAAAATTTTAAAGAAACGAATCATAGACCCCTGAAATTAAAGAAGACGTACTCAAGCATGTGCAAAGTGCTTGTGGGCCTACAAACTGAATGTAGCAAAGGGATGAAGTCTAATTAACTAAACAATAAAGCAGTCCGTTAGCACCGGCATCAGGACTAACTTCAGTTCACCCAATTCAAAGTGTAAATTTTAAACCCTTGAAATGTGAAACCAATCTGGTACTCGGCAATATAACAGTCTTCGTTGGCACCTGCACATAACATGACTCTGAATCTGATCAGAACCCAATGGCCTTAAGAAATGTACCATTATTACAGTAAAAATCTTAATTCTGAACACAGAGGGTTTCATTCAATCATACAGAAGCCTATTTATCTAAATTTATCTAAATTTTCACTTTAATTGTGAGCCTGGCTCTCAGACTACATTTCTCATAGTTTGGTCATAAAGCCAGGAATTAAACTGATCTGCAGCTAATATTTTAAAGCGTTTTATGTCTTTTTGGTTGTACGTGTCAGAATATAACTAGAGCTGTAGCGCAGTATACACGGACGAATATAGAAGCTCCAGCAGCTAACAGTGGGACAAATTAGTCTGGTCACCAAAATCAGAAACAGCAGTACTCAGTGCCAGAAACAACTTTAGTTTTTACATTCAGCACAAATATGTACGTCACAGAGTTCATGCCAAACATTAATACTGTCTTCCACAGTCATTGCTTTACTGTATCGCACAACAGATATAGTATGTCGGAGTAACATGTATTTGACTGAGGCACTGTCACTCTGATTATGATTTCTGTTTCCTCCAATCAGTCCTCTGAATTCTACACTTATGCATGTGAAAAATGTAAATATCCTACCAAAGGGAATCATTGAGTTGATGCCATTGAAGTCTTATTGTTCATAATACGGTTAATAATTTCATTGTATGTACTGTTGTCTTCCATAAAAACAGCCTTTGACTCTTGTAAAATTTATCGTTAAATGTATCGATACCACATTTCTCAGATCAGATGGAACAGTGAGCTTTGAAGGTGTTTATGTTGGACGTAGTTTGTTGTGTTTTTTCATGACATATTCAAAAATGTCATTTGGCTTAAGAGTAGTCGTAGAGGCAGGGAAACCCGGAGAGCGTCATATGGCTCTTTGGTGAACTCATAGCAAAACTCTGCAGCCTATACTAGTTTGTATTATTAACTCAGCATTCGGTGTGATAGATCATCTTTCAGTGTGCACTCGAGTGTGTCCAGTAGCTGCCAGTACACTTCTGTTCGCTGTTAGTGTCTGAAAGCCAAAATGTGTGAGAACCACTGTGTCAGAGGATTGTATATACTGTCTATTGCTGCTGCCCTGATTGTACCTAATAAGTTGTACAATCACAAATACGAGGTAAGACTGAACAGGGTGTTTCGCAGACATGAGTAGCACACTTTGTGTTGTACAAATACAGTGTTGTACAGTTCACCAGTAGGAATGTAGATTAAGACGCTCCACAACTAATACGCATACTTACTGGTCAGAGGTTAAACAAAAACATATTGTGACGGTAATTCTGTACATATTATGTTTGCCAACAGACAGGCTGTGTGTGTTGTGACGCACTGCACAACTGTGAGAGGTGGAGCAGGGCCTGATGCTATTACGAGTATGCAGATAAGGTTGTAGCTATTGTGCTGTACAACCACAAGGTTGAGGTAAAGCTGTAAATATTGTTTACTAATTTAGATTGTACATATCGTGCTGTACAACTATCGGCAAGCAGTAGGACTGTATATATTGTGTTTGCAGATATATAGAGATTGTACATATTCTATTGTGTTGTGCGTCCATTGCTCAGAGTGTACATACTGTCTATACCTGGCCAAATCACTTAAATTATTGGCTAGAATGCCAAAGTTTTACAAATAAAGGTAAAAGAACGGAAACAGCACTGAAATGAGCAAAGAGGGTTTTATTTATTCATATCTGTGTTAATGTTCTTACCTGGAGATTAACACAGTGCACCACAGAAAATAAACTAGCATCCCTAGATGACAGTACACCTTTTTCACAGCCAACTATTCATAGTAGGGAAACCACAGGTGTTACTAACAGCATTAACGATGACTTTGTTCTGTTATAGTCATAACAGTGTGACAGAAAACCAGCATGCACAATATCAAGACCCTGAAACTGAAGCTGAAGCAGCTAAATCGAATTCAGACATCATTAATTTCATTATTTACACATGTATTTCCTACTGTGACATGTCAAAATGCCATCTGTGAAAAAGGTCTCAGTACAGTGCAGTGTTTAACATTACTGTACATCTCCAGACAACAGTCAGATTTTGAGGCATTATGAGGCAGGCCTTTAATTTATTTTACACGTAACTGTTGCTCAGCAAAATGGTAATTACGATAAAATTGTTTATTTGAACCAGTATGAATATTATGTGAATGAAAATTAGGCCTCATATAATCTATATCAATTATGTGTTATGTTAGGACACTTGTTTTATGGCACCCGACATACCAGGTATACCAACACAACACCACTTTATCCAGTTTGGATAAAAACTTGGATTCATTTTTACAACAAAAAAAAACTTTTGATCCTTTTGATCAGTGGACCCTTTCGCACTAAAGAAATCTAAACAACTTACTGGGCAATGGAGGAATGGACACATTATAACTTAATGAGTCACCACTTGTTCCAGTCTTCTCTGGTGCTCATGGCTGTAGTAAAATGAAATGAACCAAGATAATGATACGTAGCATCTCCATATTGACAAAAGTTTTAACATTTATATTTGTATGTGTGATCTAAACAGCTAACTAACATCAGCTCAAGTGTGCAGTCAACAATCTGGTTTTAAACATCCAAAGTACTTCTATAAAAATGAACTGCTTGGCAACCAGACCAGGCCTCTAATTGGTCTATTTGAGACAGGCCTTTATTTGTCAAAATATTAAGCTACACCAGGCTACTAAAAGAGACTGGGCCTTTAATTGGGACTAGGCTTTTAACTGAAGTTTTACGGTATGTCATCAAGGCTGTTTGAGCATGAAACATAGATTATGAGGAGTTACACCAGGCAAATTCAAAGTTAAAGACAGGCACAGATTAGTAGACAACACTAAAATGCATTTACATATAACACAGTAATCAATCAGCAATAACACTGATGCTGAAATATCAAACACTCACATTCATGAAAGTCAAGTAGAGGTCACTGTGCTCAGTTCAGTCCGTCCAGTTTTTATGTCAGTGTACTTAATATCTAATACACAGGGGCTGCATCCAAAATTCCATACTAACATGCTATTTAGTACACTAAAAACTATGTGAGGTTATTTTAGTATGTTTGAAACCTTAGCATGAGACCAACATGGCTTGCTGAAATGTTCCAAAACGTTAGTAACCTATTCTGATTGCACACAAAAAACTCCCCACAAGATACTGATGCATGTTAATAGTCCAGGGAGGAAAAGGTTTAGCCTAAACCACTAAAACATTTTGAAATACTATAAAATACATTTAACTTCCCTGACAAAATAGTAACAACAAGGATTTTTTGGAAAGATATATAATTATTTTGAAACAGTTTTCCATTTAAAATTAAACTCTAAAAAGAGGAGGACTGATAACTGAAGTTAGAGCACATGTAATGTTCTCAGCTTTGTCTCTGATTAGTGCGAACTGTAATGTAGTTTTGGTGGTGAGTGCTCAGTTACCTCTCCATGATAATGTGGCAGCGAGCCACTAGATGGCAACCAATCATAGCCTACGCTCTCACTCCCTCACTTCTCTATTTCTTAGCAGAAGTTGTCCCTTTAGAGCCATAATCCTCCCAAAAAAGAAGCAAAGAACACTTTAATTTATATCAACCACCAGGCTCACACTCTGTTCCATAAAAGCTTTTAGCAGGCGCTGAGCTGATGTGTCAGGTGGGTGTGGCAGGCTCATCAGCCCTGACATTTAAGTGCAGTAGTGCTCAGAGCAAAACGGATTGTAGGATATGAGTAGATACAGATGACAAGCCCCCCTGCGAGGATGATTGCAATGGAGTGACAAGAGGAGACCAAACAACAGATAGAGGAAGGAGAAGGTGTCGGGAGGGGAGAGATGAAAGGCAAAAGAAAGAAAAAGAGCTTTGAGAAACAATAACTCAACCCAACAATTACAGCTTCGTCAGAATTCATATTATCTTTCATGAAGGAAAAAACTTCCAAATGTATTTTCTCATCTTATTAAAACTCAGTATAATATATTATAATATAATGAGGAGGAAGCCTGGTCTGCACCTGGCCATCCTTTAATCAGACAGTTCAGGTCCCTGTAATGCCAAACTGCCAAAGTGTCCTTAAGCAAGGTACTTAATAATTACCCACTCTGGAGGTGCTGTCTCGTAGCACCTTTCTGCAAAGGGAAGAAAGTGAAAAGATCTTTAGTTTTACAGCATATGGAAGGTGTTCTTCTGCAGAGCATGAGACAGTGCTGCTCAGTGTTCAAGACGAAGACAAAACACCATCAGATCAAGTAAAGAAATGTTTGGCAGCAATCTGTAGAGTATGCAGGCAACTACACGGAGTAACTCCACAACTAACAAGCTTCAACTCATCATCTAGAACACATTTTAATATAATACTACAAGAGAGGCAGTCATACTGCCCTCACTGTAGAATAGAAAATATAGAACACAGCCGAGAAGTATTAAGTGCTAATTACTGCAACCAATATACCAGAGAAAACAGCTACCTCTTATCACAGAAAACATTGTCCTGGAGGTTATTACAAAGATGGCATTCATCACATTATTTTTTTTCTCATTTATTTAACCTTTATTTAACCAGAAAAACCTCTTGAGATTAAAAAAAAATATCTCTTTTTCAAGAGTGTCCTGGCTGGGACAGGCAGCAACATAAGCTACAGACATACTACACAGAGCAAACATACAAAATAAAAACGTAAAGCTCTAAAACAAGCACTATAAAACACAAAATAAGATTACTACAAAGAAAAGCCAAAAAAATATGTTAATATGTACTAGAGGTGAATCATAAAAATGCAAAAAGGGTAACTAAAGACCAGCTAAGACACAACGTGACATTGGCATACAGAAGATTGTGTACAAAAATCCTGCAATAGTGCTTTGAAACAGCCGAGAGCAACCACAGAGTGCAACTTTAAGTCCTTCTGCAGAAGATTCCATATGTAAGGAGCTGCGTATATAAATGCTTGCCTGCCAAACTCTGTACATACCCTTGGTACAGACAGTAAAAACATGTTCTGAGAATAGAGAACATAGAAATTTTCAGTTTTTTGCTTAATGTACAAACATAAGTATGCTGTGGTAGGCCAAGAATAGCTTTGTAAGCAAACGAATGCCAATGAAAAAGTCTACAAAACTGTAAAAAGAGCCAGCCGACCTGAGCATACAGGATACAGCGATGAGTCACTGGCTTACAGTTATGTTTTGCAGGATTAAAGACTAAAATAATGATGCTTATGAACATTTTGCACATCAGTATCTAGGAATATTGCAAAACGTTTGCAATATATCACTTGACTACTGCTGAAAACAATATTACTGGACTATTTCTTTGAACACTTGGACATCACTTTATATTTAAAATAACCAGATGAGAAACAGTTTTCAGAGCTGCTTATTAATTTATGAACAGTGTGATTAAACATAGTTATATGCAGAAAGCAGAGCCATCTAGTGGAAGACAATCTCCAATTTCACATTTTTTGTGAAGTGGCTAAGAGCTTTTAATATTTAATGTTTTGTTATGGATGTCACAGGTGTATCACCATTCATACTGGCTACAGCATAAGTAAATGGATGCAAATAAACCATGAGGAGCAGATGATGCTGAGTTGGCTTTTAAATGTAAAATAGAAACATATCTGTTCCTCTTCTGCTCAACATTCCTCCTCTGTCACAAAACAGAGTTCTGAAGACAAGCGACATACACACTTTGACAGGGACGGAGATCCCACCACCTATGGCACTGGGTGCACACACACACACACACTCACACACACACACACACACACACACACGGACACCCTGTGGCACTACAGCTAGACCTGCCACTCGGACGCTCACCGAATCAGACGGACAAATCTCTAACAGACGGCTCCTGACAAAGAGATTATCACCGTGACAGGAGAAGTGTGTGCAGCTGTGGGTGGTGGAGTTTACAGCGGGGGAGATGGGGGTGGGGAGCGAACTCTTGTGCATTCACACATTTGGCTCTTCTCTCTCACCATACCAGTGTTCGGAGTCAAAGTCAAACTTACTTCAGTCTCCACAAGATATGAACTGAATGTCCATCATATGTATGTGTGTGTGCGATATAGAAAAGAGACACACACATACAATAAACACTGACAAATCATGTATCAAGCCAAAGGGTGATTTACTACACCCTTTGATTTGGTGATATACTACACCCAAAGGGTGATACATGCCTGTGAGGTCATGTAGGTTAACAGAAGGTGAAGAAGAAAACTAGAGGATGTTGTGAGATCTGAGTAACATCTGAGACATGCAGGTTACCTGAGTTTCTGCTGCTCACTATCACACTCTGCACACACACACACACACACACACACACACACACACACACACACACACACATGCAGACAAACAATTGAGCATTTTCCTGGATTAGACTGAACATTTAATGGAGATTTAACTGTACATCTGTTTAGTCCAAGACCATACTAATTCAGTGTCTGAGACAACAGCCCTTCATCTACAATCAATACATCACAGCCTGCCTCACTGATAGTCTGTAAAGAGCATTTCAACCACTCGCATAAAACACGCAGAGCTCGTCTTGCCTGATACAAACTGTGTGAAGAGATGTTCAATCCCCATTTATAAAGACAAGTTTATAGATAAATCCTGGTGCAAAAAAGGTCTCTGAG